TAAAACAGGCAACTGCATCTAACTTAACCAAAACCTCAAGTCACCGAGACACTGCAGAATCTAAACTCAAGCCCTTAAAACGGCGAGTTGAAGTAAGAACAGCCACCTCTGAAATCATCAACCGAGTGATGCTTTGCAATGCCTCTCTGCCCGCTTCGTTACCACCACCAGTCATTTTGCTTTCCTTCCAAAGCGAATTACGCTGGAGCCCAGGATTAACTCGCAACTTGGCTTTTGCTGGCTCTGAAAGTTACACGCACGTTTTGCAAGCGAAGAGCAGCCAGCGCGCCCTTTAATTCGTTAAAACCTAAGAGTACGAGCTGCAGGTAAAGCGCGCTCTAAAGCCCAACTTTATCGTACATGCTGTGATGTTTCTGAAATTAAATAGCTGGGGGGGGGGGGGGAGCCCCGTTCGCTTCCTGTTTAACTGCACCACGCGATTAGATTTCTCCTCCAGAGGCTGCAATCTGTTTGCTTCAGAAAGCGCTGAAGAAGCCGCTTGGAAGTAAACGAGAGGTGGAGCAGGGTGCGAGCGGGGAGGCACGGGGACCGGCAGCGCCTTCCACCCCCCCCCCCCCACCCCACCCCCGGCCCGGGGACAGAGCGGGCCCGATCCTCACCTTCCATGCTCCGGCCGCGGGGCCCGGCTCCACCTGCCCGCCCGGGCTCGGGGACTGTCGCCGCCGCCCCCCGGCCTCGCCTCCCGCCCGCCCGCCCGCCGCGGTCCCCGCCGACATCCGGCGCGGCGCTGGGCGGGCGGAGAGCGGCGCCGGGCGGCGGCGAGCGGAGCCGACCCCGCGGCGACCCGGTGGGGACCCGCGGTGGCCCCCTCGGGAGAGGGGGGGGGGGGGGCCCGGGGGGCTGAAGGGCAGTGAACCCCCCCCCCACCACCACCACCACCACCCCCGGGGAGCAGAGCCGGGAGCGCCCAAACACACCGAGGGGCCGAGACACAACGCGGGGAGCCCCGCGCCCTGGAGAAAAACGGCCCCCTCGACTTGGAATCGCAGAGCCGTGTGGGTTGGGAGCGACCTCCTAATCCAAATCCCCCTGGATCACCTAATCCAAAACCCCCCCTGCCCCGGGCAGGGACCCCCCCTTCCCCCAGCCCAGGGGGGTCCCAGCCCCGTCCAACCCGGCCTGGAACCCTCCCAGGGAGGGGGGCACCCACAGCTTCTCCGGGCGCCGGGGGAGAAGCTCCTCTCCCCACCACAGGTAAGGAAGCCACAGCAGGTCCTTAGGCAGGGATGCGGTCAGGAATGGGATGAAGGGGAGCGGCCGCTGGAGAAAGAAACCAACCTAACGGGGGGGTAACGGCACCCCGAGGGCTCAGGCACGCGGCCCCGTTCAGGGCGAGGACGGTGCAGATCCCCAGCCGCCCTTCGCACCTCGGGCCGGGTCAGCAGCTCCCTCCAACCCACGTACCCGAGGAGAAAGCGGGAAGGCATTTGCCGGCCCCTTCTGCAAACGGGTCGCCAGCAAGACAAACGGATCCGTAAAACACGGTGGGCGGCCAGTCAGGAACGCCAGCGATCATCTCGGGGAGCCCTTCATCTTCAAAGCCTGCAGCAAGCGCTCGCACCCAAAATAGCGCGGGAAAGCTTGCGGTGACTTAGGTTAGGTCACTCAAGGGACAACAGCTATTCATACGGAGAGTTTAGCAGGGCGACACGGAGATGTTTTGCGTTGGCAGATTTCTGACTCATTTTATTTTATGCTGCAGAGCCGAGCAGCCCAAGCCTTTATTAGAACTGGTGTGGCAATTGTGCGCTGTGGTGCCCACGCACGTGAAAGAGTAACTTCTTTTCTACATGCTTAATTTCCTTTGTGTGCAATTGGTCCTGGCTCTATTTACACCTCATGTAAACACGGTAAGGCAGCCTCAGCCGACAAACAAGTGCTGCTTGCTTTTCATTATTTGTTAACAGATCGCACTCCTCGGACTGTACATTAAATGACTGAGATAAAATAAAACCTGTTAGCTGTTTTTCAAAACAAAATAGCATTGCTATTTAGGAGAAACTCAAGTTACAAAATTGTTTAATAAATTAAAGCAAATATGAATTTCAAAATACTCAGGGAATTGTTAAATAAGGATTTTTGTACCTCTAGTCCAGCGTTCTGAAAGGAGGCTCGCTCTACTCAGGGCCCAGATGGGGCTTTGAGCAACCTGACCTCGTGCAGGATGTCCCTGCCCACAGCAGGGGGGTGGCACCAGATGACCTTTACGGGTCCCTGGCGACCCAAACCCTTCTATGATTCATGAGGAAGCGTGAGCTGTGCCAGACCAACGCGGTCTTGACTTTATGTGCAAGCTAAGCACTAGTCATGGCATTTTGCTTCACCCAAAGCCCAGAGCTATTTACCAGGAAAAGGCCTAAAAAGGTAATAGCTGGCCTAGATCTCAGATCAGCACAGAACATCAGTGCAGAACAGCCTGTACCTGTCACGCTTTGACATCAACGTACTCCTGTTTGCAGCCTCGAACTCTGATGAGCCAGAGAGACAGCTGAGAAGAGAGAAAAAGGAAAACAACAAACCCAAGATACTGTAGACGGAAGGCTTGCTGATCAGCTTCAGCGTGACTAGGGCAGGTGCACTGCTGGACCCTTGGGGTTAGTGCTGCATTTGTTTATTACAGTTTTATACTTCATCACATTGTGCTTTTGCTTTGGGTTGGGTTTTTTTGGCCCCACAACTCCATATAGGCTATAAAACAGCTGTATTTTAAAGCTGAGAAATTAATGTTTTGGGGTAAGAAGATTGATTGGGTGCTTAATGCATTTTTGTTCCTTTACTACGTATGTTTTCCACAAAAGGGTCCAGAAATCAGTAATAACACTCACGCGACTTGCGAATCTACAAGTTAACCAAGTGCCAAATGAAACTGTGATCTGACCTGATCACTTGGACATAAAACCAAAGACAGCGAGTGTGAATTACCATAGCTCAGGTGTGCGATAACAAGACAACATGGAAACATGATTCTCCTACTTACTTTCTGTGTTGTGTCAACGACTGCTTCTTAAATTGATGCTTTTCTATCACTTGGAACAAGATTCTGGAAATACAGTGTTAAAGAAAGATATCTGGGATAATCAAGCCCAACTCTCTGTTGTTCCAAACAATCTCTGTGTTCCCCTTCCAGAACCATTTAATAATTAGGAAGGTTTCTCACTGCTATGGATTTCAAGGAAGCCATGGAATCTGTTGTGTGATGATCAGAAACCTCTTTCTGTTTTCCATCCCAGGGTTATTCACAGCCATTTGCTCTTACTGCCAGATTTGTTCTCTAATTTAAATCTTTACTTTCCCTCACATTTACCATCAGATAATCAACCACGTCTTCTCTCTGCTTTTATTTCAAGGGCAGGAATCAAAAGAGCCTGTGTTTGCCAGCCTATAAAAAATGCCACTACGTTCATCATGGCTCTCCTTTGCACTGTCCCTGCTTTAGATCACCCACCTTGAAAATTAGAGACAAAACTTGTGTTCTGCATACCAGGTAGCATCTCTCCAGAGCCTTGCACTGCTCATTCACGTGACCCTCTGCTGGAAATCTCACTACATATTCCCTAGAATAAAATATTTGCCTTTTTATTATCTAGTCACACCATGATCAAGTTTACAATAGGTTTTTTTTTCCTCTTCTATCATTTCCTACTTGGCTTCTAGCTCTTAGCAAAAATACCTAGTAATTCATAAATACATGACTTCGCATTTTGTCCTGCTAAATCCTCTCCCCTGTCATTACCCTGTTCTTAAAGATAACCAGCTTTTTTTTCTCCTGAGCTTACAAAACTGTAATGACCACTTACCAGTCTGTAACTTAGAAATATTACAGACTTGAAAGGGAACGAGTCATTTGACTAAAGACACAGACCAGGAGCCTAAGTTTATAAAGATTCAAAACTGCAGACAAAGCTTTATAGTAAAGACACTATAATAATTAACAAGCTGGGGTCTGATGGGCTGTGCAGGACAGTTACATGACAACAGGCTATAAACATCCTTAGGAACAGAGGATGTTCAGACTGAAATATGACTAGTTTGTAGCAGACACGTTAAAAACTGAATCATTCTGCCTATACGGCGTAAGCGTGAAATGTTAACTTTGAGTAAAACTGAAAACTTTCAACACATGGGAACGCTGGATCTTTTGAGGTGGTCTTAATTATGACCTGTTCAGCAGCTCAAGGAAATTAAAAATGAAAACCCTGACATAGTTCTTACACCTTAACCAACCGCTTGAGAGTTAGTATCTTGGTCTAAGGAAGAAGAAAGTGTGGCTGCTTCCCTGCAAAGAGAGAGAAGTGAAATAATGAGGCAGTGCACGCATTTAGTTGAGCGATGAGTTTTGCAAGACATGAAATGAGAGGGACACTACTTTAAAATGTCACCAGGCTTGAGTAAAAGTACTTTCCATCAATAATTCGATACCTTCTTTTTCACATTTGCTTTTTTATATGCTGTATTAAAGAAACCTTGTAACTTACGTGCTTTTTTTTTTTTTACATGGAAGCACTGAATTGAAACTTTTACAGCTATCCACAAAAATAACTATCATTCCTCTTTTAGGCTGGTTCCATATTTGTTATGCAAATACTATGACTATTATAATTTTTGGATACTGGCATGGGCTGGGGCTGCACAATAAATATGATTTAGCAAATTACCAGAGGCTTGGCCACAGTTCCTGATCATGAGTGTCTCATGATGTGTGGTGTGATCAAATGCAAGTACCCTCCTCTCCCTGTTCAGCTATGTTTCCTGAGTATTTTTAAAACACTCACTCTTTAAAGTAGAAATACTGTGTTTCTAAAGTCATGTCTTCCAAAACATGTAACGGACTTAAAAACCACTGAGCGCTCGAAGTAATAATGTGGCATTCGGCTTTATTTTCGAGCCAACAGGATATGCCCGGCTCTTATTTTCAGTCTTTCTCACAGCAAGTGGCAGGAATGTTTTTCTGTTTTTAAGCTGAAAGTACGTGTCCCGTAATGACTCGCTCCAGCAACCCGCAGCTGGAGAACACGGTGGCGGTGCAGCACCTCGCCGTTACCCCCGAACGTGGAGCTGGAGAGGCCAGGCCGGCCGGCCCGGCGGCCTTGGGGCAGGTTGAGCGCTCCGAGCTGCCAGACCCCAGCCCATGCCCGAACCCCATTCCCTCCTCTCCCCCCCGTAGTTTCCCATCCTTGCCCACACAGCTGGCAACGCCACCTTCGCGTCGCAAAAATTAAATTTTCGCTCTGCACCATGGAAGAGCGGCGCGGCGGTTTCTCAAGCGCCGGGGGGCTGAGGCGCGACAGCCCGGGGAGTGGGGCCATCCTTCGCTAGCCAAGCGGCCCGCGGACCCTCTGAAGCCAAAAAAAAAAAAAGAAAGAAAAAAAAAAATTAAAAAAAAAAATCTCAGGGTGTGGGCGAGGAAGAAGAGAGATGCCGAGCGCGGAGCTGGGGACCCCCCTCCCGCCCCAAGCGCCGCGGCGGGGCCGGGACAGGCCGCGCCCGCCCCCGCCTCGCCGTCCCGCGGCCGCGCTGAGGGGAGGAAAGGGCGGGAAGCGGCGGGCGGGAAGCGGCGGGCGGGGCGGGCCGGGCCGTTGGTCCCCCCCCCCCCCCCCCTCCCCGGGAGGGCGGTTGGCGGCCGTTGGCGCGGGGGAGGCGGGGAGGGCGGCGCGGCGGCATGGCCGGGGGCGGCGGGAGGGCCCCGGGGGCGCTGCTGGGGCTGGTGGCGGCGGTGGCGGCGGTGGCGGCGGCGGGAGGTACGGCGGGGCCGCGGCGGCCCCGGCGGGGCTCGGAGGGACGGGGCGGCGGGCACGTCGCTGCTCGGGGCGCGGACGGCAGCACCGGCCCTCAGCCGATGAGGGCAGGGCCGCATTTCGGTGGGAAGGCGTGGGGCCCGGCAGCGCCCTTCTCCCGAGCGGAGCGCGGGAGAGCAGCGGCCAGCCCGGGGTAGCTGCTCTGCCAGCGCGGCCTGACTCTGGCGATTTTCACCGCTCCCGAGGGCTCTGCTAACGGGAACCCTCATGCCTCGGCATCTGCCCACTGGTCCCCAAAACGCAAAGGCTCACAGATGCTTGAAGACTCACTGCCCTCCCACGGTCACCGTGTTGCGCCCGTCCTGGTTCTCCCCAGGGTCGTCGTGAGGAGCCTTAGCTTTCTAGTGAGATCTGAGAACTCTTCTGTCAGCTTTTTTGCAAAGGCAAAGGCTCAGCTAGTTTGGAACCAGGTGTAGCAGGACAGATTTGCAACGTGGGCACTAAAGCAACAAAAACTGTCGAGTCAGCAACAAGTGGGAGCCCTTGTTTTTAAGAAAAGGGCATGGGAAAAAGGCAAGAAAGATAAACTTGCTAGGACAAAATAAATGGTTAACTATCACACATTCAGATTTCTCCCTGTAATGTTCTAAGTCCTTTTCCCTACAGTGAGAGCTGTACCTCAGGAAAAGCAACATTCTGTTGATTTAATTGAAAGGAATAATGTTTATGGTGACACCAGACATGAAGGTAAAGTTGTCTTTTATATATATATATATATATATATATATTTAGGTGTTACTGGACTTAAACAGTGGAGTTTGAAGTACAGTGACCATTTTGTAGACACCACTACATGTGGAAGTGACACAAGCAAGGTTGGCTCAACATAGTGCTGGAGACTCGAATATGATCCTGATAACATAAAGTAATAGGGGGGGGACACACTAGAAATACATTTGCTAGCACTTACAAAAATTTAACGCCTAAATGAGGGTCCCACTCAGCAACAGGCTCAAAACCTGGTGCTTTTTGTGACCCTGCAATGTGATTTGTGTGGGACTCGGGCGCCTCCCACGCACAGTCAGCACCAGCCACGCTGTGGACAGTTCCGTCATATTAATAAGAGCACATGGAGGTAAAAATATTAACTTTACACTTTCCAAGTCCAAACATGAAAAATAAACTTTGTGTTACATTAAATATATTTTTGAAACTAGTATTTTAGTGATACCATTCAATATAAGCATTTCACATCATTTACCTTATTCTCCTGTATTGCAGTTAACGTGTATGTTAAGGTGTTCGCAAATAGCCCATTTCTAGTATGTATGGATTTGGCTCGTTCTCAGGAAGAAGTAATAGATCCCAAGTATTTGTGGATTGGTCCAAATGGAAGAAATTTAGAAGGTTAGTCACTTTGCTCAGACTGCAATGGATATCCACTCTCTTGCCTAAGCCATTTTCCCCCAGTCATTAATAGAACAGGCGTTTTACAGTACTTTTACACAAGCTTAGAAACAGCCTCTGCCTTAGGAGGTGGGGAGGCAATCAGGAAAATATGCTGAGATACAGTTTCTGTTTTCTATTTACAAAGGGAAAAAGTCCACCACAAATGGCTAAGTAGATTACTGTACATGAAATCACATATTTTCCTTGTTGCCATTGATGCCACACTGCTATAGGATGGTGGGTCCAAATAGTCACTTGGTCCTTTGCCAAATTTTTCCCACGAGCTCTGACATCAAGACTATGTTTCTCTTCTCCCTCTAAAATTTTCAAAGGCTTGAGATAGAAGGAAACTTGCCGTAAGTTGTAAAGGTCATCAATTTTTGATTGCTTCAGACTAACACGAATCAGTGTCATTATGTACAAGAGCAAGATCTCACCTTCAAATGTTCTAAAGGAGCAGAGCATCAGAAACCAAACATTTCCAGTAATCAAGTGTTTCCTGTTTCTATTCTAGGTCAAATGTATGTGAATCTTACAGAAACAGGAAAGCTGATGGTGATGGGTTTTAAGGAGTCTATGTCTGGAGCCTACACTTGCACACTTTCTCACAAAATCGTAGAAGCTATGACACAGGAAGAAAGAGAAGTGTTTGAGGCATATAAATTCATGGTATATGGTAAGATTACTAGTTTGCTAGTATGCTAATGCACATAGCCTTTGTAGCTTGGTGGATTTGTGAAGTGCACGTTTTTCGCAAGGCGTGATTAAAAAAAAAAAATTGTTAACATTTTATCCCAGAAAATACAATTTTTAATTTATGCACACACACCTCCCCTCTCCCAGTTTTGGAAGAAGTTTTAAATAACCACTACCAAGAATATGTGGCCACTCAAAGAATAAAGTAATCTGTGCCCTTAATAAGAACGAAGTGAACTACAACAATCCCAGTGATACCCAGGACCTGAAAAGGAAGCTCACGGCTGAGCGAGAGATGACCGAACCGGACAGCGCGCTGGCGCAGGACGAGCCCTCCGCCCCGGCTGCTCGAGCCTTCCACCGCGTGTAACCACTGCTCACCACTGTCGCCTCCCCACCCACAAAATACCCTTCCAAAAATGCTCGAGAAACACTAACTTTTAAAATAATTTTTAAAAACACGCGCTCCTACACAGTAATTGCGTAGAATGCTTTTGCATAATCCCAACCCGTTTCGGTTACGCAACTCTGTAGACATGCCAGTGCTGTGTTATTTTACTATTTGCCCCCTTTTTTGTTTTAATATTTGGGAGCAGAGCCTCGTAACATAAGCACATAAATTCCTGCACATTTAAAACTCAAATGTCTCTTTCTATTTGAGTCAGCTCTGGCAAGGACAAAGTTGTTCTGCTACGGTTAATGAGTAAGCTTTATTTATTTGTTTACTTTTGAATAAGAGCACGTATTTCAGATACAAAGTACACTGATAGGGACGATAAGGTTCTGTATAAGATTCAACCTGTGATTGCACTGCAGAACTCACACACAAACTATTTTCTTAAAGCATACAGGGAAGCTGACCATGCATATCAGGTATTTGTTCGCTATACTACAAAGGAATGCGAGCTAGCAGCTAACGGCCAGTTCTTTGAAGAACTAAAGAAAATCTTAAATAGCATCATCTCTGACCTGACATGTCACATCACAGAGTCGTTCTACAAATGCCATTCTCTCAAGATACCAAAGCAAGGCCTTCTGCACGAGCTATTTGTTAGTTTTCAAGGTAACAGATTTGAGTGTTTGTTTGGAAGGGATCATTTATTTTTATAAACCACCTGAGAGCACTGTAAACAACATCTGAAAGACGTTGAAGTCGCGTGTACCTTCAGAAGTTGTTTCCCTCCTCTTTCAGAGTCCCTGTATTTTTTCTTACTAGCCCACAGATGGAGCTAAAATGCAGTTTATACGTTGAATTTGTAGTAATGTTCTTGCAACCTTAGCGAGAAATGTTACTTTTCGAGGTGTGCAGTTGGAAGGGATTGTTGGAAGGAGATAGCTGATAAGATGCCATGATTTTTTTCACTAATGTAATTGTTAAAAGGTTCATATCTTTTTTTCATTATTTGCTTTTTTTAATAAGTCTGTGACCTCTGTGGTTTCGCTTGATTCTAGGAAATTGCACAGAGGTTAAAAGCAAAAGCCTCACAGTTCCCATATGGTAATACTGATGTGGCCGTAGTGCCTCGCAAAACAGGTTACATCAACCCTGATGGCTGCCCTAATTTAGCAATGTTTTATCACTGGGGAAAGGAAGTTATTCAATAATGCTTTGACCACATTCTCTCCTGTATCTGTTCTCATCCTGTGCCAAGAGCGACCATCCTACAGGTTATGGAACAATTTTGTGGCCATTTTCCCCTCAGTAAAGTCAAGAAACATTCAGAAGAAACCGAGGACCCAGAAGTTTTAAGTTTACGTAAAACTTCAGCCCTTTCTCTAACCTGATGTTACTGTGTGAGAATTTGGTTCCATTCTTCCTGTCAGCTCAACATATTTTCCCCCCATTGTTTTATTTGTTGACCTCTGACTCTTAGTGGAACAAAGTGATTTAAGTAACTGGATAGAAACCACCAGGACCCAATCTGTTTTTTCCCCTTTTATCAGTCACGCATTTTTCAACACTCAGATGCACCCAATCAGAACTATTTCAAAACATGATCTTGAACAGCAGATGGTGACAGGTGAAAGGGAAAAATAAAAAAAAAAAAAAGAGAAATCACAATCCTTCACAGATTAGAGGCAAAATTAAGAGAGTCCAATAGGATGAAGCGAGCACTGTAAGATGCTAAAAGCAGTGATCTGTTTTATTTGTCGATGTTTTCTGAAATGAGCCTGGAGATACCTGCTTGAGGTATTTGAGTTCATGGTAATATATTTTTCAACACGTGTACATGTCTCTTTTTTTTTTTCCCCCACCCATAGTCAACCCTTTTGCACCAGGATGGGTAGAAGTTTGCCGCCAGGTTCTTTACGACTGTGAAGATACGACAAACATGAGACTTCAAGAGGTTCTGTGTCAGCCACCCTTGTGTCTCCCCTGCATAATTAGCACAAACCTCTGCCTTAGCATCTACAGACTTGACTGGTAGTAACGCAGCTTCACCCAGATTTTATGGGATTAATATCATTGTAAATGACAGTGCATGGATTTCAATTAGTTCAGTTCAGGATGGAAAATGGTTTTTAAGAGTCAAATTGATTCAAACTGTTTACAAAAAAAAAAAATAAAAATCAGGCTCATGTCCTTTGTATTTACTTCTTAAAGAATTATTAACATTAGTATTTGTATTAGTGTACTGAACTTCCAGTTCTCCAACCTAAATCTTTGATTATGGTTTGGTGAATGAGGTGCAATTTAAAGTAAAGCTACTGTAGCCGATCTCTAAGATCTGTTCTCCCCGGCTTCTGAACGTTGATACACGCTGTCAGCCTGTGTGCAGGGCCTGATCCCCAGCCCCCGGCCAGGGGGACACTCCCAGTTAAGGTGACAGGTCAGTGTGGGAGGGAAATTGGGACTGTGAAGCAAGTCTGTTAAGCATACGGAGTACTGATATTTTTGAATCAAGAAAAAACAACTATTTTTTTATTCTTCCAATGTTTCTGAATTTCAGGCAAAAGATCGAATTGGAGAGTTTTTCAGGAAGCAGACCTACGCTCTGAAGCACGAGTTTCAAACTGTTCCTACAATACACTACGTGGACAACAGTTTCTCAATGACTCACGTTGACAGTTGTCGGCCCGGTTTTGGGAAAAACAGTATCACCCACAAGAACTGCGCTAGTTGCTGCGGTAAATATAAAACGTGTGGATTTAGATACAGCTTATTAGCTCTGATCACGGGTTTCCCTGCAGGGTATTTGGTAAATGTCAGTGTCAAAAGCAGTGACAGTTCCATTCAGCCGTTGGAAGGGCAATCACATCGCAGGTTTAAAAACACCTGGTGGGAGCAGAAAACAAGCCGGCAGCGTTTGCTAGTGCGCTCGCAGGCGTGGCTATTTCCAGATAGAGTAAGTGGAAGCAGTGGAGTGGGTTTTTTAATTCCAGGTCACTGGTGAGTGACTGTGCTCAGGTCGTAGAGCAAATAAGAAACACTCACCTTCACGGCAGCGCTGCTAGGAAACGCTGGGCTGTTTTAAAAGCTCTTTTGGCCGCAGCACCCCCAGCGCGCTGGGGAGCTCGGGTGCAGGGGGGCTGCCTGAAATCCGACTGTGTTCTCTTCACAGTGGTTTGTGATCCCGGAACTTACAGTCCTAACAACGACGTGACCTGCCAGATTTGTACGAGGCCTCGAGTCAAAACGTACGGAGCAAGATCTTGCTAATAGAAGCTGGGAAACCAAAGAGCAGCTGTGAAAGCCTTATCGGGTTTGTGATGGTCTTCTGGAATCCTACGTTCGTTTTTGAACAATCACAAAACATCATCATTCGTGCACCCCTAGATTTTCTGTATTCAGGGACCACTTAGACTGTAAAAATGATGCATGCAATGAAGCGTCCACGCAAGGTAAAGTAATTCAATGAAAAAAAAAAAAAAAAAAAAAAAAGTTTGTCATGTTGTCACGTGGCTGTTAGTGCAGAGTCTGGTGACACCGGACGCACCACAGCTTTGTGCTGCAGTTTGCTCAGAGAACATAAAGGAACCATAAACAATTCAGGGAAAGGCGGCAGATAGCCGTAGTGGAATTCTTTGCCCTAATGACACGTGCCAGGATCTGTGAGCAAGCTCTAGCAGATATTAATAGAAGCTTCTAATCTTTGTGATTTAAAAACATTAAATGTCCTGCCCTTTGTTTTGCCCCGTTTCTGTCGCTGTGCCCAAAGTGTTCCAGCCAGTGCAGAATCGCACAGTGCGCTCGTTAACAGACACCGACCTGCTCAGGACTTTCCGTCTTGCTCCGCCAGCGGGAGCTCTGCTGACGAGCAGACACCAGCAGAGGGGAAAGTGAAATCGGGTCTCCGAGACAAGAGAGAGGGTTAATAACAAGTCTTGCAGGCCAGCGGTCGGGAGAATTGAGGATCTGGCTTTGATGGATCTCTCCTTGTCCGCTGCTCCCCAGAAGGAAGCGGGTGTGTCCCGGGGGGGAAGCGGAGAGGCCGCGGAGCCTCCCCCGCCGGCTTCCTGCTGCATCTTTCCCTTCAGCTGCATCACATCCTCGTGGCAGAGCCCTGCCGGCCCCAGGTGCTGGCCTGCACGAGCAGATGATCCTCTTACACCAGCTGCAAATTCCCACCCAGTTCACCGGATGAGTAACAAGTCAAGCTACAAATCGCCAGAGCGCTGACATAATGGGAAAGTTCCCTTCCCAGAAGAGACTTGCCCCGATCAGCTTCTGAGGGGTGGCTGCTGGATCTGCGGCAGTTGAGCGTTTTGTTCATAAAGCACCGTTAGCAAAGATTCTTTTACTGCTTTCAAGAGCTTCCCAAGCCACCCTGGCATCCCGGCAGCCCCCGGAAGGCGCAGAGCACGGGCTGTGTGTGCGACGGAGCTCCCCGAACGCAGGCTTTTCAAATTTATTTTTAAGCTGCTCCCTGCCGGGACCTGCTGCCTCCCAGACTCGCTTTGTGGAGGGACACCAGACAGCTCTCGCCCTCCTTCCCCTCGGGGAGCCCCTTTGGGAGCCGCTTGTGCAGGGCTGGTGTCGCCCCCCCGCAGCCCGAGGGGGCTCCGCGCCTCGCTGCCGGCCGCACGCACACCCGTGGGAAGCCGTGCCCAGCTCCCCAACACGGAGCCCTGCCGCTCTTATTTCGCACGGTGTAGGACTAGGTCAAGCAAAAGAGCACCTCCTCCCCAATAACCGCGACTTCTTACGGCATCTAGAAATTCCTTGGTGGGTATTCATCCAAAAATCGACCAGATTCAACCCAGTTTAACTGATCCATTTTGACAGGAACACAGCAGGGGATGGTATGGGCACAGACCACGCTCCGAGCTTTTCGGAATCATTACTTATTAAATACTGATGACTAAAGTGTACTGTAACGAGCATTTAAACTGCCTGTAGGCTGATTATCTTAGCTGCCAACTGGACACTGTGTGCACGGCTCAGGCTTATACAGATTAAGCAGACGGGCTCGGCGATTGCTGCCCTGCGTCTCTTGGCCTATTTCACAACCGAGGAATGCCACATGCATAAATTATTACAGGGGAAAAAAAAAAAAAAAAAAAAAGCAGTAAGTAGGTACTAAGTGCAAGCAAGTTGGAAATGAACACTTGCTCCCTCCTCCTAAAAACTGGAGGTATAGGAAGCTCTTACAGCGCCTCAGCTTTTCAGTGGACCTTAAAAGCAGAAAAGTAGGTCAAATATTTCAGTATTGCGTTGCAGAGGAGTTTATGGCATTGATTCTGCGGAGACTTTCATAAAAAACTGATAGGAAACGGCTTCGCTCTGACCTTTGCCGTGTGGAAGCCCTCTCCATCCAGCCGGAGCTCCTGGCCTCGGCTGCCTGCAGCAGCCCCAACCGCAGCTGAATCTTTTATTTGTGACACCCCCTCGCAGCTCAATCCCTCCCCCCCCCCCCGGAGCTGCTGAATCGCTGTCACACCTCAGCTTTTACAAACTGCTGCAATCAGCTCTCACTTCGCCTCACCTTTACTTTTTACAATCGCTCTCTACCTCCCCCAGCTACGAGAGCTCACGAGGAATTGCCAGAGCCTCCTCACCACTTTAAATCCTGCTTTTTTTGCCCCACTCTGTTTTCACACCCTTTCCTCTTGGAAACAGGGGCTGTCAGCGATGCTCTGGGTGCAGCGGGGGAACCCCTGGTTCTCCTGGGGGGCTCAGCCCTCTGAAGCACTGCTTTAACCGGCCCCGACCACACAGCTGTAACCTCATTTTCTCCGAGGGAGGCTTAAAACACCTCAAGAGCAGCGATGAATTCTCGCAGATAATAAAGTCAGAACTTAAAACATCCTGTCCCCGTCTCCGCACGGGCCTCCGGTCACTCAGCCCCTTCCCGCAGGCTGCGGACCAACAGCACGTGAGGACTTTGAAACACCCACGAGTGACAAAAATAATCTGCCGAGTGGAAGCCGCAGCCCATTGTTTTAACGTCAGAGCTGCTTTTTCCCAGCCTGGAACAAACCCCTTGAGAAACACTGAGCAAACAGATGTTAAAGCGCTCGGGGGGGGGGGGGGGGGTGTGACGGTGACACCCCCGCTCCGGTGGGAACCTGTCTCCTCACTCCCCACAGCGTCTCTTGAGCCACGAGCGACCCGGTCCTCTGAATTGAAGTAGGGGGGAGCTGGCCGGGTCGCAGGGCCGCCCGAGGCGCCGGCGTGACACGCTGCAGCTCGCGCCGAGGTGCCGGAGAACATCGGCCTGGAGGGGCCGCGGGGCTGGGGGGGGCAGCAGGATCAGCACCTCCCGGCAGCTCGTCACACCCGGGTGCAGCCCCCGGTAATCCATCCCCCCCCCCCAAACCGTCCCCCCAAAACCCCCCCCGTCCAAGAGCCGCTTTGGCAGAAAGGGACTTGCAAACGAAGCCTGGCCAAGAGTCGAGGGCGTCATTTCGGTCCCCAGGGGCCCCCAGCTGACCCTGCGGGTGCTCAGGGCTGGGGGGCACGGGGACGCCCCGGGGTGCAGCTCCGGACGCGGGCTGTGCTCTCGGGGAGGCGGGAGGAGGGCTGGGGCGCCGCGCTCCGCCGAGCCGCCGGGCTGCTGTGAAAGGCCAAGTCCCCTGAGCCGCAGCAGCCGCGGTGAATTCCGCGATGGGGCTGAGGGTTTATGTCAAATTACGTGTATTTTCAAGTGCTCTGCTGAACTGGAGCTGGAAGGGTGCGGGGGGGGGGGGGGGGGGGGGGGGGGAAGAAAAAAGGAGCTTGTGCTGCTTTCTGGCACCTAAATGCGAGGGGGGTGCCGCAGCCGCAGCGCCCGGCCCGGCCGTGCCCCCACGGGAGGACAGACGGACACGAGCCCCCACGGATGCCGACAGCCCCACGTCTCCCGCCGAGGCAGGAAAAGCGCCTGGGAAGGTGACCTTTCCCTCTGAGAGGGGAAGCTTTGCGGATCCCGCTCTTTTATTACCAGGCACGACCTCATCTTAAAAAAACGGCGGTCAGAGAAAGGACCCCTCTGCCCAGCGGTGCCCAGCTCGCACGAGCGAAGGGAGGGAAAAACAACGGCGAGTCAGGCGGGCAGCGTGCGGCCGGCTGGAGCGCTGAGCTCTTAACCACGCGCACGGGAAGAGATGTCGTGATTTTTAGCTCTGCTTCGGTTTCCTATCCGCTGAAATTAAATTTCCTCTTGCCCAAGTCCAGTGACCACATTTTCTGCGCAGCACCGGTCCTATAACAAGCAACATCATTGGATTAATGAGTCCTTTGCAGGCAGCGAATAAGTATGATTCATTATTGGCAGCAATGCCACTGTAAATGGATTTTTTGTGGTGAAAATAAATAAATAAGGCTACGTAACTGAAGGGCCGTTGATGAAGTGTAGACCGGCTTTAATCACAGTGTAATTGCTGCCATCAGTTCTAATTATTTATAAATATTTTTATAATTGTGGAAATTGAACAATTAGACATCCTTCCTTCCCTCTTCCAAATCTAATCAGTTAGAAGTTCAGGATGCAGTCTGGGGCCACGACTGCTGAACACGCTTCATTCACGGCCCGAGAAAAATATTGCTTTACCTTCCATCTAAAGCACACACCCCTGCGAAGGCAAACGCTCGCCCCCCCGTGCGGAGCGGAGCCTCCGTCACCGCTGCCGAGGACGGACCCGCAGCCGGGGCCCCTCTGGGCAGCTCAACAAACAGTCAAGCACCCAGCAGAGCCAGGGGCCACGCAGAGCCCGGCTTCCCCGGGGCAGCCGAGGGCAGAGCGGGCATCACCGCCAGCAAGAACCCGATTCTTAAATCTTGCCCCAGTGACACCTTTTCCTCCATCCCGGAGAGGAAGCGCAGCCCTCCCGGCGCGGGTCAGTGGATCACCCGCCTGGCACGGGTGGGCAGAGCACCTGGGAAGTTAATGACAGAGATTTACCGGCGTGCTGGAGCGGTACAGAAGGAGGTCGCGCTGCTAATTCTCCCGTTGCTGATCCCAGCAGATAAATCTACAGTACATCAAGAAATGAATTACCCAGAAATGCAGTGTTAGAATGGATTATTATATTTCCTCGCTTAAGGAAAAGCGTTGACTTCAACGCTGAGCCCCCCGGACCCACCGAAGCCGAGCGCCGGCTCCCCAGCTCCTCGGCAGGAACTTGCCCACAGCAACTTGCTGTGAATATAACAGCGAGATGAGAAAAATCCCTCTTTGGGTTGCGAGCCCTCCGAGGCGCCTGGCAGGCTGCCGGCCCCCGGCCAGATCCCCCCCCGAGTCCCCTCCGACACCCCGGCTCGGCCACAGGCACCTCCTGGAAATATTCCCATAATCCTGGTTTTCTGCTCTGCCCCATTCCCTGCAGCACCCGATTAAATAGCCGGTATTATTAACAGCATAAATCCAACGCAGTTCAGTCTGTCCCAGACCAAGTTATCTTCCCGAAGCTTATTGCAGATTTTTACGAGGTTTCTTGTATGTTTTATTCCCCCGTACATCCACGCAGCCCAGCGGCTGTTCCACAACCAGCCGACCTCCCTCACGGCGGGGGCTGCCACCGGGATCCACCTCCTTTCCCCTGTGCTCGTTAGCGTGGGCTGTAACGAGCCTGGTGGTTTCCATCCTAATAACTCCTCGGGCAGGAGAGCCGGGCCAGGCACCAGAGTGGGGCTGGTCCCTGGGGGCTCAGCGTTATCCAGCCCCGTGGGGGGACACCGGCAGGACCCCGGGGGAGTCACAGCCCTGCAAAGGGGGTGACAGCCGGGGCTGCTCATCCCGCTGCGTCCCCCCGACCCTCCCCAGCTGCTCCCGGGGCCGCAGGAGGAAGGTCCCGGGGGAGCAAACCGGCACGGGGGGGACGGCAGCCATCTGCTCGGGAGCCCGGGGTGCGCGGGCTGTCGCGGCCGCGCTGCGTCTGGAGACAGCCGGGTGACAAACGAGGTTAATGTCCCGCGAGCGGGAGCTGTCGCTCCGCGTTAGGTCCCGGGTTTCACCCTCGGCGGCACCGCGCGTCGGCACGCGCCGCGCAGGGAACCGGCACGGGGCCGCTGTGGATGCCACAGTCCTCGTGGGGACCAGGGTGGGGGGGACCCTGGGCATCACGGTCCCTCCCCGTGTGTCACACCATGCCCGCGACTGGTCCGGTGGGGACAGGGCAGGGAGGGGAGCAGGACCCTGGCAAACTGCTCCGCAGCATCCCGGCGCGACGCGGCGCGGGGACCGGCACCGTGCCAGTGACCTGAGCCGCGCTGGCAGGAGCCGAGCCGCGGCGTGTTCATTTATTGAAGGCGAAGGCCGGGTTACCGGAGGGACCAAGTATCGCGTTTCTGAAAGCACCAGCCGGGAGCACCCAGCGGAGCCGGATGTGGCTCTGGGAAGCCATCGGCTGTCGCGGGTGCCCTTCGTCCTTCCTTGGTGGCCGGGATGTCACCGGGGACCGGGGCGCCCCGGCACGGGGGGATGCACCCACCTTGGCCCAAAGCCGCAGCTGCTGCGGGAGCAGCGCCCCGTGCCCGCCGCGGACGCACACACCAGCACACGCCGCGCGCGGGCTCCAAAGTAAAACCCAACTTTATTGTCGTATAAAGTAAGAATGTAGAAGGTCCCTTAAACAAAACACGCGTTGGGTGAGACGGGCCCCGGTGTCCCCGCACGCCGTGGGCCAGGGGATGCCCGTGGGGAAGCAGCGCCCGGGGCCGCGGTGCAGCCGCTCGTGGTGGGTTGGTCCGGAGCCCCCCAGCCCCGGTTGTATGGAGGACTGGGGGGGGGGGGGGGGGGGAGCTGCCGTGGGGCTGCGGGCCCGGGGGACGCCCGGATGGGAGCTGGGGCTGAGGCACCGGCGCATTGCAGAGCCCCTGGTCTGTGCTGGGAACGTAGGCACTTGTGGAAGGGCGCGGGCACCGCTCCCGGCCGGCTCCGTCTCACGGCTCCCGCCGGCTCCGGGGCGCAGCACGGGCGGCAGCCGGGAGCCGGAGCCGCGTCTGCCCCGGTCCAGAGGATGTTTGAGCAGCTTTGGTTGGTGCTGTTGGTGAATTAAGGCAATTGAGCTTCCGTTGGTTTTTAAAAAAGGGGCAAAACCAGCAAAACCAGCTCTCTCAGGGGCCAGACACTGGGATGGAAGAGTCTGGGTCTGCTCTGGCTTTGCTCCGAGTCGCCGCTTGGACCCTGCACGCTCAAAGGTGGCACCGACCCCCACCCACGCCGGCACCCCGGCCTCGCCTCTACCTGCCAACACCAGGAACCTGCAGCCCGGCACTGGAAGGGTCAAGAAGGGACATTGGGGCATTTTAGGGGAGGTTTAGGCTCCTGCCAGCAGCGCGGGAGCGGGGAGAGGGCAGAGGAGCCGCAGCAGCTCCCTCCATCCCCGCTTCCCGTCACAGTGACCGGTCGGCAGCTTGTGAGTCCTCGAGTGAGAGGTGGGAGCTCTCCTCCGGCAGCAGATCGGAGCGGGTGAGGGGTGCTACCCAGCTGCAAACACCCACCTACGTGGTCCCGGGGAGCACTGAGGGGAAACCCGCTCCCCCCCAGCATCCCGGCAGGGCCGGACCCCTCGGTTCCCCCCCATCAGCACCCACATCCCTTGGCAGCCCCGGAGGGCTCAGCCCTGGGGGAGCTTATTTCTCATTTGCTTCTTATTCCCCATTTGCTCCTCCCAGGAACGGCGCGCTCCGAGGGGTAAGGTGCTGGGGGTGCCCACCAGCCGCCCTATCTCCGAGCCGGGCCCCCCGCACCCCTCGCTCGAGCAGCGGGAGCTGAGATGGGAGATGGGGGTGACACCATCCAGCACGAGAGCTGGAGCGGGGCAGTGCCGGACCCGCCTCTTGCCTTTCCCAACTGATGCGACCCCACTTCCCGCCTCGTCCTTCGGTCCCGACGGGTTGTGGTTGCAGCCCGTGACCTTCCCGGGGCCGGTGACCCGGCCGGGCGCTGGCCCCGTGGCCATACCGCTGCTCCCCACGGCCCAGCACTGCCCGGCCAGGCAGGGAGCCAGGCCCAGGCTGCCCCGCGCCGCCGGGAACATCCCTGGGGCAGCCGAGGGTCAGCCGGGGAGGGATTAAAACACTGATTTCGTTAATGCCCCAAGGGATCTCTGCAAAGGAAATATAAAAGTTTGAAATGAAGTCTGAATGCCCAGGCCGGGCGGAGCAAGGGCCACGTGCTGGGGGGATGCTCGGGGTCTCCCCGGTCCTTCGTCACGCAGAGGCAGCGGGCGGGCGCTCTGGGCTCGTGGCCGAGAAGCGCTGCGCCGGAGCCAGGCACTGGCTGGCCGCGGCTCCCGCTGCCCCGAGGAGAACAGAACAAAGCCGTGACTATTTCTGTGCGGCGCCGGCGGCTGGCGACAGCTCCTGCAGCCGTGGCAAGCCCGTGGGCCAGCTCCACGGGTCCCCGTGTCCTGCGGGGTGCCGGTGCCTCACACCACAGTGCTGATGGTCGATGACTCCTCCGACCTCCGCTGCTTGCTGGGCAGGGACTTGAGATACTCCAGGTGCCGCCGGGCGTCCTCCTGGTTCTGCCGCACGTAGTAGACCAGGTAGGAGATCACCATGGCGAACCAGCCGAACATGGTGACCAGCATGGCGATGTCCGTGGTCTTTTTGTACACGTTGCAGAAGTCCGTGTCGGCGATCACCTGCAGGAAAGCTTTGCCGACGTGCTCCTCCCGCGCGGAGGAGTCGCACACGATGCCGCCCGAGGAGCCGGCCGCCAGGTCCACCGTGCGGATCAGCTCCTGCAGCCGACAGTCACACAGCCAGGGGTTGTCGGAGAGGTTGACCTTGGCCTTCAGGTTGCTAAAGGCGTCTTTGCTGACCGACACCAGCCTGTTGGAAGACAAATCCAGCGAGTGCAGGTGCTCTGCCAGGCCCCGGAACGCCCCGCTCTCGACGCCGGCGATGGCGTTGTGGGACAGATCCAGCTCCAGCAGGAGCGGCAGGTCCCGGAAGGCGTCGCGGGGCAGGAAGGGGATTCGGTTGGAGTCCAGGTAGAGCTTGTTGGTGTCGTTGGGGATGTCCCTGGGGACCTCGGTCAGCTGAGCGTTGCTGCAGCGGAAGGTCTTCAGCCCCTCCTCTTCCGAGGGGTAGCAGCCCTTGGGGAAGGCGGCGGCGGAGCGGAGGCAGGAGGCCAGGAGGAGGAGGAGGCTCTGCAGGAGCAGCCACATGGTCACCGAGCGGAGGAGGACCTGCTCTGCCGCAGGCATGGTGCCGCGCTGCCCTAATCACACAGCCGCCGGCCCGGCGGCTCTCGCCCGCGGTGGTTTCGGCTGGACTGGGCGCATCTGAGACGGAGACAGCAAGGGGACAGCGTCAGACCCGGGGGTGCCGAGAGGCAGAACCGCCGCTGTGCCAGCGGCGAGCATCACGCCTGCCCCGGGGCCGGGGGAGCGGGACGGGGCCGGGGCCAGCCGGCACGGCGCACGCATCCCCCCCGTCCCCTGCCAGCCCCGGCCTCGCTCAGCGTTCCTGCGCGGCAGGAGCGGGCGCCAAGGGGCCGAGCGAAGGCACGTCTCCCGCGCGCCGGCAGCTGGGCTGTAACAAATGGAGACAGCTCGGGCTGAGCCAGAGGCGGGGGTGAGCTCCCGCCCCGCCAAGGTCACGGGCAGCTTGACCGCTCGCTCGCAGGCGGCCGATACATCCTGCAGCCGCGGCCGGTGGGACGCACCAGCCAGCGAGCTCGGGCTCCGGGCGAGCAGCCGCCGCAGGCAGCCCCCCGGGGAGCACGATGGAAAACACGTGAGGGCAGAGGCAGAGCAGGTCCCCGTTCCCCCGGCCCCGCTCCCCGGCAGCGCCCGGGGGGCTCACGCAGACACACGCCGGGTTTTCCCCTTTCGAGGGGACTGGGGCGGGGGGGGGGGGGGGGTGACCGGGCACCGCTGTCCCCTGCCCGGTGCCACCCCGGCCGCGGGGTCGGGCTGCCCACACCACCCCGTAACCATGGTCCCCATCCAGCCCTTTATTCCGGAGGGGAAAAACGTCAGCAGGAAAGAAACAAAAACAGAAAAAGGAAATTCATAGGAGCTGAGCGCGTAGCGAGTTCCCAGGGTGGTGGCAGCAGATAAGGGCCACGTCCGAGCCCTGCGAGCGCGCTGCCCGGCTTTCCCAGCCGTGGGTCCTGCCACGTCTAGGGGCCCCAGCCTGTCCCCGGCGGGGCCGTGGCGGTGGAGCCACCGAGGCAGGACGCAGGTGCTCTCCCACCATCCCAGGATTAAAGACACTGGCGTAAAAGGGTACCCCGCGGCACCCCGTCAGGCAAAGCTGCGACGAGCCCCGTGCTGTGCCGCCCGGGCACCTCTGGGCCAGCCTGCCTGCGGGTCCCACCACCCCCCCCCCGGCTCCCCGGAGCACCCTACTACCAGCAAACTCACTTCTGGGTGCTGAGCGGGGCTCCCCAGTGGAAGGGCAGGGGTGCCCACCCAAGGGTGGCCCCGGTAGCACAGCCTGGGCGAACACCCCGACTGCCGGGCACCGTAACGCAGCCCAACTGCACCGAAATGCCCCAAGGTCGCAGCCCTGCGGAGCTGACCCCTGCGCTGCCGCCCCCCCCCCCCCCCAGGGTCCCCAAGGTCCCCGAGCGGGGAGCGGGGCTCAGAGCAGCCAAAGGGCACCAGGACCCCAGCCCCACGCCGGCACATCAGGGTGGTGGGAGAACTGCGCTCCCCCCACCCCAAGTCTGTCAGAAGTAACCTGGGGGGAACGCTGCCCCTCGGGGTCACCCTCCCGCTGCCCGTGGGGTGAGAAAAGCCACCGGGGTTGAGCCGGGAGCCTGTGACCCGGGAGAGGGGGAGCTTCGCCCACAGGACCTGGGGACCCCCGCGGTGGGCTCGGATGGTCCCCAGCTACGGTGCTCCGGACCGGCGAGGACGGGTGCAAACCAGCCCCCCCCCCCCCCGCCACAACAGCGGGGTCCCCAGCCCACAGCAGGGCACGGGGGTCCCGACCCCGACCCCGGGGGTCGCCGCCAGCCCCGGGGAGGGCGGTTGTTGGGGTACCCCGGGGTGGGGGGGGTGGGGGGGCGGGCAGGACCGGCTGTGCGGGCTCCGGGACCCGCCGTGTGCCCAGCGCAGCCGGGGATGCCCGGGCTTCCCCCCGGCACCGGGGGCGTTGCGGGCGAGGGAAGCCCCGGTGCTTCCCCGGGGGGAAGCTCAGCTCGGCGCGGCGCTGCCGGGGGGACACCCCCCCCCCCCGCCGCCTCCTCCCGCCCTGCTCGGTACCGGGGACCGGCGGGGAAGGGGACCGGGGGGGGGGGGGGGGTCCCGGTGCGGACTCACCTGCCGTGCGCAGCCCCGCGGCGGCGGAGCGGCCGCGCCCCGCGCAGCGCGGCGGGCCCGGAGCCGGCGGCGGCGGCGGGGCCGGTGGGCGGGATCCTCCGCCCGGGCCTCCCCGGGGCTCCCCGCCCCCGGCCCGCCCCGCCCGGGGGGGCCGTACAGCTCCGAGCACCCTCCGGCCCCGCCGCCGGGTCCTTCCCACCCCTCCTCTCCCCCCCCGCCCCACGGGAGAGGATCTGCCTCCGGTCCCCAGCCCGGGGTGGGGAACCGGGGAGACCCGGCGACCCCCCGAGCCCGGGGCAGCCGGTGCCAGCGGCTCCCGGGGAGCTCCACGCCCCCCGCCCCGCCGCGTCCCCCCCCACCAAACCGTGATGGGAGCACCCCCGACCCGCCCCCCCGGGTGCTGGGCGCTGCGGACCCCCAGACTCTGCCCCCGCCGCCCTCCAGGACCCCCCCCCCCCCCGATCCCTCCCCATCCCCCTGGGGAGAGCAGAGCCCCCCTCAAACCCTCCCGGCGGGGTCAAGGTGCGCTCCCCAACCCCCCCCCCCCGTCGCCCGCAGCCTCCCCGCCCGCCGCCGGCATCGCTTACTCGGGGAAACCCGAGCCGCGGCGGGCAGCGGTGCGGGCAGGAGCCCTGCCTGCCCCGCCGGTGGGGGGGGGGGGGGGTCCGGATCGGGCCCCCCGCCCAGCCCCGAGCTTCCCGGGCCGGGGGTGGCCGGGCTGGGCCGGGGCTCGGCGCTGCGCGGGGTCCCGTCGCCCCGGGACACCGGCGGGGCCGGCTCAGGACCCTGGAGAGCGGCCGCCGTTACCGGGCCGGGCCCCGGTGCGCCCGGGACCGCCGAACGGGGCGAGGGCTCCCGGTGACCCGGCCGGGCCCCCCCCCCCCCCCCCCCCAACACCTCCCCGGTGCTCAGGGCAGCGCCGGGGCTGCTCCCCGGGGCACCGGTCCCTTGCCGTGCCGCAGCGAGGGCGGCAGCGGCTGCCGGTGCCCCGTCCCCGGTTCTCCTTGGAGAGCCCAGCCCTGCCCGCCGACGTTCTCCCACCGCTCAGGGAGGATAAACCGTTTACCGGGCGCCTGGCCTGGATCTCGGCTCAATTAGGAGAACGAAACCTGACGGGAGAGGCGCAGCCGGGCGAAGCCGGAGCCAGATGCTCCCCCGGGACCCCCACGCTCCCCGGGGAGACACCCCCCCCCCCCCGCCTCCAGCTGGGGCCAGGCGGAAGGACGAGGCCAGGGTTGAGCTGGGGGGAGCCCGGCTCACCCCAAACTCTGCACCTCAGGGTGCTGCGACCAGCCAGGGTTAGCCAGGCTGGGGGGTTGGCACACACCGGGGCAGCCGTCGGGGCTCCGGGGCTGCCAGCGCGGCCCCGTGCTCAGGATGTCCGCCACCGGGACTGGGACCCGGGGCAGGGGGTCACCGGGGCAGGGCTGGCCCGGGACACGGCGCGGAGCCACGGTCAACGCCCGCGGGCACCGTTGCTGCCATCGCCCCGCTGGGCCGGGCAGGGGAGCGGCCCCGGTGCTGCCGGGAGCTGCGCACGGAGCCGGCGCCGGTGCTGGGACCTGCGGCAGCGCGGGGCCGGCTCCGGATGGCACCGCCGTGGGTCGGGGTCTGCGGGAATCCGGGGGCCAAGGGGCTTGAGTTTTCGGCAAGTACTGGCTCACGCCGGGGCCCGGAGAGGTGGCGGGTCACCATGGCAGCGGGGCAGAGACCCCGGGAGCGTGAGAAGGAGCCCACCGGCCCAAAAACCCAGCGCCTGCAGTGCAGCACAACCCTGCACGGACCCTTCCCCGCCGCAGCCCCGGCAGCGATGGCTAAAAATAGCCAACCACCGGCTTCTTGCTGCCACCACGGTGCTAAATATAGCCGGTATCGACCAGGCAGAGGGACCGGCAGCCCAGGAGAGCGGGGGGTGAGCTCGGCCCCCCAGCACGGAGCGAGGCCCGGGCATCCGTGCTGGAACAGCCCCAGTGAGCACGGGGGAAACGCTGCGCCAGGCGAGCGCTGCCCGTGGATGGGGCCAGATCCCCCCCCCCCGGGGAACCCCCCGCCCCCGGTGCCGGGGTTCCCTGGGTGGGTGAACCCCATCTGGGGAGCCCAGGGAACGGGTCCCCTCGCCCCCGCGCCGGCAGCGAGAGGCTGCCTGCTGCATCACTGAGAGGGGATTAATATTTATGGGCGTTTAAAAATAGCTGTCGCATTGTGCTTCCCCCTCACGTGCGGAGTCAGCGGGGTGCGGGGAAGCTGCTAAATTAGATGTCACCGCGCGGAGGGAGCCGCTCCGGCGGGCAGGAGTGGGGATAAAAATAGAGCCTGCCGTGCACGCGTGGCTCTCCTGCAAAGCGGGGCCAGCTCCCGCGGGATCCCCCCCACCTCTGCTCGCCGGCATCCCCGCACCTTGCCCTCCCAGCAAGGGCACCCCGGAGAAACGGGGCGGGGACTGGGGGGGCCCTACAGCTGCTTTAACCGCAGGTGTGTGTGTCCCCCCGGGCCCGAGGCCTTGGGGAGTAGCTGCTGGCGAGCTCTGGCTCGGGGAAGCCACGCTGCCAGCAGCCAGCGGGGTCTCTGTGCCCTCGCCATGCCCCACCAGCACACAACCGCCTGCCGAGAGCCGGCCCAGGCCTGGAGCTGGATGCACGGCGGGTGCCGAGGCCGGATGGATGTGCTGAGGGGCAGGATGCTCAGCTCAGCCTGGGAGCCGCCCAGGGGCTCCAACCCCCCCGGGGAGCACCGGGGGAAATCCCCGATTTCTTCTGTGCACAGCAGCGCTGCGAGCCCACCCGGGGCCAAAACCGAAACCCCCCCAGATGGGCTCGGCCGAGCGAGGCTGCGAGCGGCACCGGTGACGTGCCCGGGACCCTGGCGCAGCTCCGGGCGGGGGGTTTTTGCAGCCAAAAGTGGCTTCGCCGTTGGGTGACGGGTGCTGCACCCGCTGCCGGTCGGCAGAGCTGGCGGCAGCCGACGAGCACAAAGCCCCGCACAGATGGCTGCGCGCACCGAGGGGCCGTGGCAGCACCGCGCTATTAGCTTTGAGCGCTGTGCAAACAAAAGCAAGGCCAGATGGTGTGTGTGTGCCCCCCCCCCCCCCCTCGCTCCCCACCGCTCCAGCGCAGGAATCCTGCGCTCCCAGCCCCTGACCTTGGCCGGGTGTCCCGGCAGCACCGTGCCGGCCAGCCCAGGTTGCTTGCACAACGCTTGCTGCTGAGGTTTTGACACCGGGAAGAGCGACAAGGGAGGGAAGCCCGAGAAGGGTGGAAGCACCCAGCTGGGTCTGAGCCCCCCCCCGCCCCGGGGTGCAGAGCGGGGTGGCTACAGCCCCGCCGAGTAGGGCTTGCTCAGGGCTAGGGGAGCTGGGGTGCGGTGGCCACGGCAGCCCCCGGCCCGGTGTGCGGGAGGGGCAGAGGAGCCTCCCCCGCCTCCCCGGGGCCGCCCCCCCCCGCCCGGGGCCGGCCTCTCCCGGGGGTGGGAGCCGGTGCTCGGCGCTACCGGGACTACAGCTCCCAGCGTGCCGCGTTGGCGGGGCGGGCCGGGCCGAGGAGCCCGCCGGGAGCGCAGCCGGGGCGGCGGGGAGCGCGGCGGAGAGAGCCCCGGCCCCGCCGGGCCGAGGTGAGTGCGGGCCGGGCGCGGCGGTTCTCCCACCCCCCACCCCCCCGCGGGTACGGGACCGGGCCGGGCATCGCCCCCTCCCCGGGAGCGGGCGGCGGCCGAGCCCCGCTGCCGGGCCCACGGGGGAAGGTGCTTCGTGTGGGCCCGTCCCGAGAGAAAAACACCCATTCCCCCCCCAAAAGGTAGCTGCGGAAGATGGAGACAGAAAGCCCCGGGGCGCGGAGGTGGGGGGCCTGGCCGGGGGGAGCCCGGGCAGGAGCGGGCCCTCCCCCAGCACCCCCGGAGCGTGGGTCCTGCCCAGCTCCTCGCGTGGGGGCCAAGCGGGGCTCAGGACCCCCCAGCCCGGCACCCACGCGTGCGTGGGGAAGCCCAGCACGCCACCTCCCCTGCGTGACCCGTCTTTCCCTGGCGATTTAGCAGAAAGGGCTGAGAGGGAGACCCCCCTTCCTCCTCCTCCTCTTCCTCCTCTTCAGCCCCACGGCCCGAGCTGCACCGCAGCCCCCACTTTCTGCTCCGGGCCCCTCTGGCTTCCCGGGGCGGGGGGAACCGGGGACACACAGCAGCACCGGCTGGGTCTGACCTCGCACTCGGCTCCCTCGGCTATCAGCTGCCCCTAAACACCGCTGACACCCTCGATGGACTTGATGCTCTGGTTCAAACGCCGATGCCATCTTGCAAAGGAGGGTTTTAAAATATTTATTTGCTTGGGAGATGGTGATTGCTGTTGCTGCCAGAGATAGGGATCTTGGCTCCTCAGCGGCTACTGTGGCATCATCAGCGCTTGTGTTCTGGGAACATCAACCGAGATAAGCACCTGAGCCTTCCTGCTCTCCGCCGGCTGGGGGTGAGGTTGTTCCTGCAAGGCCTTGGGGCAGAACAGGGTGCTGGCCCCCCCCTGTTCAATCTCGGGGTGCCCTGGGGCAGGGCTGTGGGAAGTCAGAACGCTGCTGAAGCACGAGGGGACGGGAACAGACAACAGTCACGCTCCTTGGGGGGCGAGAGCAACGGTGGGGAAGGAGCTGCGCCTTGGGGTGCGGGGGGCACGGCTGGCGTCCGAGCCTGGGGGTCCTCCAGCAGCTGGCGGATGACAAAGCAAGCGGGGAAACCGCTGCCGTGGTTTTGTTTCCCCCCTTCCTCAGAAGTGGGGAGATGCTGCCGGCCCCGACGCTTGCTCTGAGCCCCAGAACGTGAGTCTTTCCCAAGGGAGCCGCGGAGAGGGAGCTGGCGCAGCGGCGGGCGGGACGTCGGGAACAGGACGCGAAGGATCGGGCAGAGGAAGGGCTCGGCATCGCCATCACAGCGTGCGGTTTGCCTCTGACCACAGTTAGGACTTTTCCCCTCCTTGGATGGACACCGTCCAACGTCAGCACAGTCTTGACCTTCACACTCAGTCTGGTGAAATGTTAAAAGCTTTTCTGTCCTGAAAAACCGCTGCACAAGGGGGAAGGCAGAGCTTCGGAGCCAGCGGCTCCCGGGGGGAGCTGGAGTTCCTCCCACTGTTGTGTTTTGCCTTGTTTTTCCAGCAGGTGAACAAATCCCCGGTGTAAAATCAGAAAGCAAACAACATGGGATCTGGGATGGGGGTAGGGATCGGAGTGTGGAGAGCTCGCACTGCCCCGGCCAGGCTTTTGCAACACGGTGCAGGGCTGTGTGTGCAATCTGCAGTGAGCACAGAGCTTGGGCGAGGGCTGCAAACACCACTTCAGAAATGGAAAAGATTCGCAGATGAAATATTTTTAAGGTGGGGAAGGACAGAATTGGAGAAGAAAGCAGAATTATCCCCATCGTAGGACCGAATGCTTGATGCCTCTGTACCTCTCTTGCAAGAATGAATTAACCTCTTGTACGTTCTAGCATTTCACCCAAGGAAACTGAGGCACAGGGTGGAGAGTTGCTTCACGTACGGCTTCTGAGTTTTGCCCTTTGCCATCCAGCTGCAGGTTTGCGACTGCCCTCCTTTGCAAAGGGGACCAGGTAGAAGTTGCTCACTAGTTTTTCAAGATTACACTCAGGGTTGTCCTAAAATGGAGATTTCATTTTATTACTGCCCAGGCAGGGCACGCCTCTAGCCCTAGGTCTGCCAGCTTCTGTAGCCTTTGGATAACGGCGTCATCACAAGTGTCCTGAAGAGGCCACCTGGTCAACTCCCCGTTCCAAAGAGGAATATTGATTTTTTTTTTTTTTTTTTCTAACTGTTTATGAAACTTGCCTATGAAGCCTCTAGTGAGACCACTGATCACTTCCCGTGGGCAGTCCATTTCAAGCCCAGTCCTTCCGCATTATCCAGTCGCTCTGAGTCTCAGTTGTGCAGTTCACACCACTGCACAGTTTGTCTCCTCTTCGGTGCAGCTATCTGTTAAGTGTTGGAGGACTAGTCCTCACGCCTCTCTCCAGCGTCCTCTAGACTAAACAAACCCATTTCTTTCAATCTGTCCTTGCAGGTCATGTTTTTCCTACACCTCTGCTCATTCTCACTGCTCTCCTGGAGTCCCTCCAGCTCCTCCCAGAACTGGACAATATTCTAGCTGAGGCCTTACCAATATCTAGGAGAATTATTCTCTCTGTCTGGCAAACAGCGCTCCTGTTTATGCATTCCACAGGGGTGTTTGCTTTTTTTTCTTTTGTTGCAGCAATACAACTTTTTTTGACTCGTGTTATGCTTCACTGCAACCCGTAGATTTCCTTCTGAAAGCCCTTAGAAATTGCACCAGATTAAGGATGGAGCTGCTGCCCCTCGTAGGACTGAAGTGCTGCCCCAGCTCTAAGTCCTGATTCCAGGCCGAGCTTCAGCTGATATCCTTTGACCCAGGAGATGGGTGACAAGAAAATGAGCGCTCTGCAGACCTGCAAGCCTCTTTTCTGGTAACAAAAACCTTCTCCAGATGGAAGCCCTCTGACTGAGACCTGGGTAGCAGAGGTGGGTGAGCATCTGTTCAGCTCGCCCCGCAGCCCTGCCTCACCCGAGCCGCCCGCGCGGCTGACGCGAGGTTTGGAAGTTACAGCGAGCGTCCCAGGAGCTGCGGGGTCAAAGCGTTCGCTTTGTGTCCTAGCCCTGGGCAGGAAGAGGGGAGAGCGCCAGCTTCTGAAACAAGCCAGGCCCAGCACTCTGCAAGGGATCTCGGAACAGCTGGCAGCGACGTCCAAAGCCTAATGTTAGATCTGGCTCGGACTCGCCTCCTGAGACCGAAGACTCCGAGCGCGAGAGAACAGCAACGCCGTCTTCCAGCTGTGGGAACCAAAGCAGCAAAAACACAAGGCGAGACATCAGGAAACAGCCCTGGCTTGGGGTTCTCTGTCCAAGGAGAGACAGACCGTATTATCTACTGAAACTGCATTTCCACTGGGACATGGGCAAAGAGGATTTTGTGCAAGAACTTATCTGATCTCAGTGCAAAGATACTCAGCTTTACGGTGGTTCTGATGCGTGCTGTTTCTTGTAATCCCTGGAAACTGGTGTAAACCAGAGCTTTCAGCTTCTCAGAAAGCCTAAAAGCTGACCCACACCTGCTGCCACTATCAGTGCAGCAGTCCAAAAAGCCACTTCGGTATCTGCATTGGCTGTAGGGCACCACTCCAAAGACTTGCTCTCTGAGAGGATGACACCATCTCTCTTCCTTGTCTTTCTGGTATTGTTTAGAAAAACATCTCTCTGTATTCCTCCTACGTGGCAACTGTTCTTTCCAGGTAGGGGAAGAGCCATCTCCTCTGCAGCTCTTGCTACCAAAATATCCTCCCAATGCACTTTTCCTTGTTACCTCTAACTTTTTACGTTCCTTAAGAAGCTCACTCCTTCCCTGCAGGGGAATCTTTTGGTTACTTTTATTTTTTTTCCCCTTTATAAGCCTTAAATTGGAAGGCAAAACATGTAAGCCAGACCAGGAGACCAGCAAGCCTCTAGAGCTGTGCAGAACCCTGTTAATTTACTTGAACTAATTAGGAGATCTGTTGATACAGACCTGCCATGCCTTTACTCTGCAAATACTCGTGCTCTCCTTTTGAGTTTAAGGTGTGCTGAACCCATAAACATATATAACATAACATAAGCATGTAAGAAGCTTCATGTGCTGAGTGCTTCCATGATTAATGCTGTGATAATGACTTAAAAAGCACTTAAAAGTATTTGTTTGAGTCTTGACAGGCAATCGTGGGATTTTAACCTTGACTTCTTGGTTCCAGGAAAACATTCAGCAGATCACAAGTAGCTTCTCTCACAGACAGGCTTCCCACACATTATTCCCAAATCTCAACTGCTCCTGGATTTAGCTTCCCCTCAGAAATGTCAGCTCTACAAGAGGAGATAATGAGGTGCAGAGAAGTGAGCTGATGTGATTTTTATAGCAAACAACGGGTTTCAGGTTTGCTTAACAGCAAGACACTGCTCGACCCCTGCCGTGCTTGCCTGAGTAATTTAGATGGAGGGCAACCACGATCCGAGTAGTGACCCGATTCTGTTTTAGTTTCAGGGGTGCCTGTTGGACACCAGAGCCAACATGAACGTGGGAACAGCACACAGCGAGGTGAATCCCAACACCCGTGTCATGAACAGCCGGGGCATCTGGTTGTCCTACGTCCTTGGAATCGGCCTGCTGCACGTCATACTCCTGAGCATCCCCTTCTTCAGCGTCCCTGTGGTTTGGACTCTTACCAACATCATTCACAACATGGTAAGGGAACAGCGTGGCTGGCTTGACTTCCCGGGGCATGGAGCAGTAATCTCTCAGCACCAGCTGTTCTTTTGAGAGCAATCTAGTAAGATTTTCATTGAAACAATTCCTTTGTCTGTATTTCCAAAGATGCTGGGTAAGTTACTCAGCCTACACCCCTCAGACTGCACCTTTGCCTCTAGGTCATATATTTAAATCCAGCCTAGGTACCGATGAGACAGCAAACATCTGGTGAGGCTGCTCTAAGGGGACACTGAATTCATTTGCCTGCAGGGTAAGTCCCTTTGTCACGTCCCCCTTAACAGAGGAATAGCTGTGACAGGCCACAGAAGCTGGTACAGCAGCTTTCACTTCGGTTGATAGAATCTGAATTGGTCTCATCAGAATTAAGAAAACAAGATTAAAACCTAAAACCTTTGTTCTGCTTAAAGCAAAAGATTAGTCCAGAAACAGATTCTCCCCTTCTAAGGATCAGGCACCCCAGCGAATGGGTGTCAGGGTGCTGTACTAGGGGTCCACAGGTGAGCATGGCCCGTGTCGGCAGATGCACGTGCTGAGGACACAGGGTGCCCAGGTTCCCAGAACCTGCCGTGTTTAACCGCTCAGCTCTGCACGTGTCTTGGCAAGCTTGGGTCCTGCAGCTGAGGAGCAGACCTCTCGGCAGCCCTTCACCCTCAGGCGTAGGGGAGAAAATACTTCAGAGATGCAGCAAGTGAGTTTGTATCCTTTATTTTAAATAGCATCTCAGCTCGAGAATATTCCAGAGACAAAAATGATACTCTTATTAGGGACCCTCATGCTAACGTTATTCACATGTCTTGTGGGGGGCAAAAAAACCCCCATGAACTAGAGCAGCTTGGAGCTCAGTTCACAAGCTGCCTGCTTTTCATCCAGCTCCTTCTCTAGCAGCTTAAACGGTTAGGTTCTGGGAACAGAAAGGAGTTTAAATACTTAAAAGACACGTGATGTAGCCAGACACTTGCTGTTTATCTGTGACTTGTGTTCCACTTCAAGAGGTTGACTTGTAATCAGAGCGGTAACAGACCCTCACTGCCTAGAGCTCTCCCAGTGCTTTTTTAGAACGCCTTTAGCACTGCTGTTGCAGGGTAGAGCGAGTCCACGCTAATCTCCTGATCCCAGAGATCCGAGGGCTGTAATCTTGCAGCCACCTTCTTGGCTTATGCCCAGGAGCTGAACGAGAGGCCTCACGTGTAAGAGCCAAGCCTGAGCTAGCCCTGGCTAGCGGCCTTCCTCCCTAACTCGCCGCCGCGCGTCCCAGCAGCGACGGTGCATCCCTCTAGCGGAGCAGCGCGCTGGTGCAGGCTCCCGCAACCGTCCCGTTCTTGCTGAAGTGGAACGTTTCCACTGGCGTGGCGAGGGGCTCTGTGCGCTTCACGCTGCGTTTCTGTTTGCTCCCAGAGTATGTACATCTTCCTACATACCGTGAAAGGAACTCCTTTTGAGACTCCGGACCAGGGGAAGGCTCGGCTGCTCACGCACTGGGAGCAGATGGACTACGGCGTGCAGTTCACGGCGTCGCGCAAGTTCCTGACCATCATGCCCATTGTCCTGTGAGTACTTCGGGGCAGCTGAGCTGCCTCGCAAGCTGGTTCCGAGCACCACTCCTGCTGCCTGTGCTGTCCTGGGAAACAAAACCATGAAGTGCTGTAATTCAGTTTTCCTCTCTCTCTCTTTCTCTGTTCCTCTCCTTTCCAGCTATTTTCTAACCAGCTTTTACACAAAGTATGACCGGATACACTTCATAATCAACACCATCTCCCTTATGAGTGTCCTGATCCCCAAACTGCCTCAGTTTCATGGAGTCCGGATCTTTGGGATCAACAAGTACTGAGCTGCGTGGCTGGAGTGAATGGAAGAGGAGCAGGGGAGAGGGGGAAGTTCCTTCTCTCCAGTCCTGTTTCTTCATCCCCACGCACACTGGGATGTAATTTCACAGCGGCTGTTTAAATGCAGTATCCAATAGACATATACCGCATGCTGGATCCTCATGCCCAATAAATCTAAACAAGCTCCAGAGTAGAATTTAGTGCAGAGCAGGATGCATGGCGCTGGATTTCCTTTATTCCAGTGTCCTCAATAGATGCAGATACACTGAGACTTCAAGGTACAAAGAGAGAGATTGTCATCTGTCCCAGGCATTGAATGACGAGAATAGGGATGAGGGGAAAAGCTTTTAGTGCTGGTACTATTGCTGTGGTAAATGCACTTTAAAATATATTTCCCTTTCTGAAGCTAGGTGCTTTAAGCATTACGTAGGGGAAATTCAAAAGGATACAACCAGGCTTTCCCAATACTTGTTTGTTTTGGGGTTTGAGTTCCATTTTTGGGCAGGGGAGGGGGAAAAGAATGAGATTTTATTTTGCAATCTTTTACACCACTGAGAAAGGAAGTTCTTTTACTAAAACAGTACAGGAAGGAATGACCTGCAATTTGACAAAGCTTTCATTTTCTACGGTACCATTCAGGTGGTTCAGGGAAAAGAGCAACAGATCCTAAATCATACTTGTTATTTTCAGCTTGTACCAGGATCTATCTGGGTAACTGCTCCCCACCCCAAACTGCTAATTTTTAAGCGCACTCTGAGCACTCAGGCAGTGCAGCATTTGGATTAAGGGCTGGGGTGCAGGTTATTTTAATGATCAACAACAAATGCCACTGAGCTACTCGGTACATGGGGACTGCACAAGCATGGGAGATGGATGGTGCTTGCTGTAGTTGGTTAGTGACTATAATTGGATTTTTTTTTCCTCAGTCCAGCATCTTGGTCTCTTAAGTCTGTGTTACTGGGATTTACCAGTGGACTCGACTCAGTATCTGACTCAAGGCAAGTGAGTGTTTGATTTCTGATTTACCTGGAAGTCTGTCACTCGGCTCCAGGCACAAGTGCTGCAGCAGCATCCCCCGAGCCCTCAGGTGATCGCTGGCAAGGGTGGGCAATACTAACGAGCAGCAGACTTAATTGACCAACAGAAGGATGCAATGGGCCACTGAAGATAATAGGTTATTTAGTATAGGAACAAAATTGAGCCCTTTTCCCATAAAATTACCACCTAAATGAAGTAGGTTTGCAGGTTTAGATTTCCTGGCTGAGATAGCTTTCTACTGCTCAGAATAATTGGGTTTTCTTTTGGGTTGTGTACCAGATAAAATGTGTTTTTTCTCATGCTTCCCCTGCAAACTCATGAAAGCCTATATTTTTGTTGTCTTAGTGCTTATATTGTCTTACACTTTTGACAATAGTATAAACATTTTAAATATGGTATTTTTGTTCCTGGATTAGCCCATCCTAGTTTTAAAGGTCATAGTGGATAGTGTAGAGTTGTGTTTGATGGTCTGAGCATAGGACGTGGATAGGGGAACTTCAGGGTTGCATGTAAGACCTAGTACTACTCCATGCATAATTTTAGGCAAGTTGCTTTACTTCTCTCAGACTTACCATCAGACTGCTGCAGAGAAGGGAAAAACATTTAATGTACCTCAGAGGGCTGGGGGAATGCATAGAGAATCAGTACATGGAATGTTTGAAAAATTGAAATATTTTAAGTGAAAATGAAGTTTTCAGGAAGGTAGAAAAAGTCTGGCTTGATACCCGAGTGCTGTTCTCCAGCAAGGGAGTTTGACAGATGTGCAATTCACTTGATGGGGAGGTTAAACCTTTTAGCCACCATGACATAAGGACGACTGCTGCTTTAGTTAAGGTACTATATACCCTAAAGCTAATATACTCTTTAAGCTATTAGACAATGACATTTGAAAAAAATATTGTTTTCAAAATAGAGATACTTCATCAATCAGCTAAGTACCTTTGAAATGACTAAGAAATCAACAGTGTCAGTGCCCGGAATGCTTACGGAAAGGCTGCTGCCCTCAGAGGCGTGGCGCCTGTCCTCAGCAGGGTGGGCAAGGCTGTATCCATGTACCCATAATGCAGACTGTATGTTGCTTAAGAGATCTGAACGTCTGCCCGCAGACACAACTTACATGCCAGTGGTGAATCTCCAGAGGAAAGAAAACTATTTGTTTTGGTAGAAAACGAGAGGAAAAACATCCACTTTTTTGCAACAGATACAGTCACTATATGCTTAAAGACATTACTCCTATATAGACAGACATATACTGGTTATTTCTAAGTATATGCACATTACACAGAGTCAAAGCAGTTTGGATACTTTTAGCATAAGTATAAATAGAAGGTGGGGTCAGTTCTTCTCAGTGAGCTACAGCACTTTACAGTTTCCTTGAAGGCCTTGGCATTACAACGGCTCCGGGTTAGATCATGTTATTTGTGCTGTCAACTGACACTATGGATATCTGATTCTATTTGTTAAATTAAACTGTGAAAGAGAATAGGATTATAAACTTCTCAAAAAGGCAGTTTTTAAAGCCTAAAGTCTAAAACTTCTTGTTAGGCAAAGCCTTAAATTATAATAGTAAGCCCTTCTGATTTACCTTATTCACACCTAAATGATTAAACTAGCCATTACACAGATAGGCGTTACATGGCAAACGCCATTCCTTACAGGAATAGCATTTTTGCCACAGAGTATCTGAAGTTAACTTGAACTCATACAGTTAATCCAATCAAGGGAAACATAAATGAAAACTGGAGAAATATGGAAAGAAGCGAGAGTTGAAGACAGATTTCATGTTAATAATGTGGTGTGCTAAGTATCTACGTAAGATTAATAAATACTTGAACAATTTCACATCTGATAATACCTTCCTTAAGATACCATCTTAAGGGTAGGTATCAGAATTAATCAAAAATAGAACAACAGTAAGTTAATTATAATTAAACCGCAGTTGCGATTGCCCCTCGTTAAGTATACGTGGGGTAGTTTTAAGTGAAAGAGTTCTGGGTACTGCTGGTCATACATGAGTCACGGGGCTCCTTTCTGTCAGTGGCACAGGAACACGCGGTACCCGACTGAGTCCCCGCTTGGAAACCACCACTGCAGCGGTGTGGAAGTAACAGACACAGTTCTGGGTCTCCTGGAACTCTGTACAGAAACCACTTCTAGTTTATTTGTGTTTGTTAAATTCATGTAGAAGTGAGCCCAGCACTGGAAGGCTCATCGTGCACACACGCAAGTTAAAGAGCATAGTCAAAACACTAGAACTCTCAGGGGTTAACTCACGTCTGAGAAAAGGGAGGTCAGGACAGCGTAGGCAGGATGAGGGATTTTCAGGGGTGTACGTGCAGCTGACATAGCAGTGATCCAAGGGTGAAGCCTACCTTTTGCGTGGAGAACCGCAACCTCAGTGCAAGGACTGTCCATTCTTTTGGACTAGAATTTTCTCCAAGTACCTACATGAAGGAGATAATTAATCGTTATTGATTTTAAATGAAAACATCAGACTTGACAGATTTTCCTCTCAAACTTGTACTAGCTTCCTGTACAGGGCTAGGCTGAAAGTCAGCTGGAGAATTAAAGGTGGGGTCTATCCTGTGACTAAAAAACAATTACTGGATTAGTAGGTACTTAAAATGCTTTTCTTTTTTGTTCTGCAAAGAATGCCAAAGGAGAAAAGCTTGTGAAAACCATTCACAGGAACTGGCAAAAGCCTCCCTCTGCCCCATCTTGTCTGCTCAAAGCCTCTTCTAAGCCACTGTCAAGATCAGGCCTGTGTTTACACCGTGTGACACCAGGAAAGGCAGAAAACAATCAAGTACTAACAGCCTGATGCTTCCAAAATAGGGATCCTGTCTTGTGATTCATTTAACATAGCCAACAGGATGTCATATTGTCCAACCCTTTGCAGGAAAAAGCCTTTTAAAAAAAAAAAAAAAAAAAAAAAAAAAAAAAAAAGCCTGAGATCTAGGGCTACTTAATTCCTGAGTACTTTTTTTTTTTTTAAATCATTGTTTAATTTTTCTGTTTTAATAGAAACATGGTATTGGCCCTTGAAAAGGGGACAGCAGCTGGTTACCATTGTTAACACATTAGCATTTCTCTGTGAATTATGTTGCTCTATCATTGCCTATAATATCTTTTAAGCATGCAAGTGTTTGTGTATATGTATCCTCCTTGGATCAGTTTAAGTGAGCTAAATTAGTTGGGGTTTTTTAATGGAACATACTGACATTGTACAAAGTTTTAGGTTTCTTTTTTTTCCAATAGCCCTTCTTTTTGCTGTGTATACAGAAGTCTCACGTAGACAACTTTCTAAAATAAAGTGTGAATATTTTTATTACTCCTTTGTACAGTATTCTAAGAGAAACTAATAAAATAAGTATTCATGTAAAAACTTGTGTTTGATTCCTCGAATTTTTACACGAGCAGGTCTTGCTTTTAAACAAGTGTTACCAAAAATAGTAACCAAGAAAACTCTCCAAACCAAATAATAGTTTAGAAAGCCAACATCAATTTATTGCAGCACTGGGTGCATGGGGGATCTCTCCTCCTAACATGCACCCCCCAGAGACAAAGGCACTTCCTTTATATACATTAAGTAGATGAATACTCAGAGTTTCCATGACTCTGAAGTCTATTCCTGCAATCCTAATACATTGTGAAATTATGCCTACGTGTGCCTAAGATGCTGCTTACCTCAACAAAGCCAGGAGGAATAGAAACATCTCACTAAAATAATGCTTGTCTCAACCACCACGGTTAGGACGTGTAGACACACGCTACTTATCCTTTGGCATGCTCCACTTGTTTACACAAGGTTTGCACAGAAGGGCTTATTCCATCTTAATACATTTTCTTGACCAAATGTGGTATCATAAGCATGGCAAATGAATACTCTAGGACGATTCCAAGCCCACCAAGTGATCGATTGCAGTAAAGCAAACAGCTTGCAGCCTACTGCATGGATCTCTTCACAGGGCACTGTGCCAGTGAGTCACACAAAGCTCTGCTACTAAAAATGGGCCATAAAGCATGGAAATGTGCATCACTGGTCAATATAAGTTAATAAAAGTGCCTCCAGAAACATAATATTGGCCCCTTGTCTACACCACACCTAATTAGTTAGCTCTCTCACAGGTTTAGTGAAATCCTCCTAAACCAGAAGACACTGTTCCTTATCTTAATAGATCAGAAGTATAAATGAAAAGCAGAGCAATGCTAGAAATTAAACAAATCTTATAGGAATGATGCATCTGAAGAACAAGTTAAAAGTTATCCACAGCTGTTGTAACAGATCAGCAGAGATTAACTCTATCAACAGAGGTTAACTCAGGTTGCTACCCAAAAAGTGGATTTGCCCCCCGTGTGCGATAAACCAATCGTAACACACTCAGCAGAGATACTGTATTTATTCAGGCCTGGGTGCTCAGTAGACTTTTTCACAAATCAAGCACACCTAACGGCAGGTTCAGGTGCTTCTTTTATACACAAAAGTCACAGGTTAGTACTTTTCCAAACACACCGATTAGGTACTGATTGGTCAGTGATTATAATACAATTATAATACAGATTACATAAGGCTTTTATCACTACACATGCTCAGGGGAAGGGTCACTCTGACCTGTGGGTGTGGTTTTTAGCATTATAATGAGAGTAGTTCATTTCAGGATACTTTAAAAGTTAGGCTCATTACCAAGTTACTTAATCGAATAGTCAATTGCCAGGTTGTCAAATAACTCATCCTCAACACAATCCCAGATACTCTTATTATGATCCAAGATGTTCTACCTATTTTCCAAAGCCTATTCTTCATTAATTCCTTATCGCTAATCTCAACCACGATTAAAAGTTTTGCCCAGCCAATCTTTGGGGCCTCACAACTGTCCCCCCCATGTGTGGTAACTATGACTACCATCAATTTGATGTGTGCTAACTGCTGCCTGTAAACTGCAAGTGTGGAACGTCTCTCAGTTATTAATAAATAGTTATTAACAATGGCCACTTGCATGTGTGAACCACATCAAGGTCAACGACTGAAACAGAATTATGCAAGCAACAGGCTTTTTGTACCCTAATTTAGCTGATGTTTCCGGATTCCTGATCAGAAAGGCGGGGAGAGCACACTTCCCAAGCCCTGCCTCTTCAGAGAGGCCATATCACATCAGAAGCACTGCAGACTGCCACCGACAGGAGAGGAGAAGCCATCCGCTCCACAGGCAAGTCCATTTTTAAGAGCTTTCAGTACCAAAGAGGGGTGGAGGAAACTGTCTGTTAATTGTTCTTGTTCAGCTTTTATCTCTTTTTGAAGTCTCCCATGGGAATGAGTCCTGTAAGTACTACTGAAATGGTCCTACATTAAGCACACAAGACTGTTTCCCCCTCCCCAGCTCCATCGCGTACAACACACCATCCTTTGTGATGCGACAGCCTTCCTACTTTCTGGAAGGATCGGACTAAGTCAGTCTCTTTTTCAGACCACCGTGGGACGTTAGGGAAGATATCCTCCTCCATCTGCTCATCTGAGCTGTAAACGGGGATCAGCATCTCTTCCCTATCAAGACTTGATAGAGGGTGCAGAAGAGAGGTAAGACCCGCACGCTTTTCTTCTCGGTAAGTACAAGAAATGGTTTCATTTGTAGATCAAAATTCTTCTTCATTACGTCTTACATATGACAACTGCAGCCAGAAGCCAAAGCGAAACTTTGGAGTGAAAAACAAGCTGCAACAGGAAACCAATAGCGATCTTGTTTCTGCCTCTCAAGCCCCCAGCTCTCCTCTGTGGGGGTACAGGCAGAGCACCCGGGCATTCCCACCCAAGTAGCTGTGCTGGGGTGATTTTTTTTTTAAATATTTTGGGGGATATTTGCCATAGAACAAGCTCTCCTACTTTCCCCCTCCACCCACTATTCACCTCTCAGCACTTTCACTTCCTTGCACTTAGATACTGACAAAACCATTTTTCTAATGCTCTATTTCAAAACAATGCTAAACCTTTCCTGCCTGCCAGGCAATGAGAGGCACAGAGGAAATGCTGAAGCAGTAAAAAACAGCAAGAAATTGCTCAAGCATTTTTCTTTTCAAACTTAGGTAAGGGCAATGCATTAATTAAAGATTAAAGCATTTAGGACCTTGATAGGTCCTAGGTTAAGGAGCAATGTCTACTTTAGTAATGAAAATTATTATGGTATATATTGATCTGTGAAACAAAATATCTTCATGGAAAGAACAGTAACAGGCTCCAGTGCAGGAGACCAGCACCTCATGAACTGCCTGCTGCCTTCTTACCTGCACTGAGGGTTCATCATGTGAGAAACAAGCTCACGTATATCAAAAAAAAACGTTTTATTTGGGACAAAGTCAGTGGAGCAAAGAATACAGCGCTGGGCACAATGGCACAACCTGTCCCAGCAGGGGCCTCTTTTTATAGTTCCAGCCCTCCTTTTTGTACCTGTGCAGTTCCTTCTTCTTGGTTTCTTCAAGGCTGTCTCTCCCTGCACTTCTCCACTGCTTCATTACTTCTTATCGCAAAACAGACAGCTGCTGAGCGGGGGAGGCAACCACAATGTTATACGTAACCTTCAGTTTAAACATGAAATCAAAGAACAGTGCAACACAACCAGGCCAAGCAGCAAGTCCACTCGCTTTTGGGAGCGAAGTCCAGGTTCCTCTTCATCAGGAGTTCTTCGCTTAATCCTTTTTCTGCTGGCTTCCATTCCTCTTTACATGATACCCAACCACAGACTCAGTCCCCCCGCTCCATCCCCTGCTTGCCCAGCTCCCCACAACGCCCAACCCTATGGCCAACTTGTGATCAAAAAAAGCTTGCTTAACTGTTATAATTCTAGCAACACTAATGCAATGACAGCTTTAGCCTAACTCAGTAGAGGTAATTGTTTAATTACTTCTAGTGAAAGCAAAATTCTACTGTTATTTATCACAGTCAGAAAGGGGCTGAGTCTGAACATGCCTCATTAGCAAGCCACAACTCATACTCCCACATCTCCAAATGCTTCTCTATACACAGTCCTGTGAAAGGTGTGTCCCTGTACTAATGTGGGCCTTTTTGCGTTATTATAATTTTTTGAAAAGTTCTTAGTAATTAAAAGTAACAGATATTTTCTTACAACCTTCTGCTTGTATTTCAAGTCATTTTGCTTAACTTGTCTTGCCTCTTTCCTAAGGCACAGGTACACTTCAGTTTAGTTCAAAAATTCATCCAGCTGCAGCAGAATGTTTAAAAAAGTCACCCAATCCATAGCAAACCAAGTAGAACCAGGAAGAGACCTGATCGCAGTTCACAGCCTCATGGACCATGAACGTTTCAGACTCCTCTGCCTAGTGGTGAAAAAAAAAAAAGCCATATTCCACCTATCTCCCAGCTACAGACAGACATGCTACAAACTTGACGATGTGTTGCTACCTGGAGGTGCTAAAAGCACAGGTAAAGCCCTCAATTTATCATTCTTAAGTTTACAATTTCCATAGACAAAACATTTGGATCATTTGTGCCTGAATTCTATGTTTCATCTATTTTGTGTGCACAACAGTTACAATACTGAGTCAGTGTAATCATGCTTAAACTAATGCATCCCATTATTTCAGAGTCCTTCTTTCCCAGAGGAGATGGCCAAGGTACATGGCAATTTACAATCAAAAAAAGATTCAGTGACAACGTTGATGGGAGTCTAAGCTTTTCTGTTGACCCTGCAAGCTCAGAGGTGAAAGGAGGTGCCTCTTTGTCCAAAGAGTGGTCTGTCAAGCTGGAGAAGAAGGACATAGAAGTACCAAAACTTCAGGCACTCCAAACAGAAAGGTAAGGCAGACACAAAGGGAGACCCTGCCCTCTGGTTATCCTCTTCCACCCCATGCCAGCTCACACAATAGTTTTTCAACAGCCAAAACCCAACATTAAGACCTGAGAGCAAGAGCTCTCCCTAACTATGCATACTTCTGGAGAAGAGGAAAGAGAGATGATAAAGATTCTTTACACAGCTTTGTAATGCTTATAGGTTTCTTTGTAATTCAGAAAGTGGGAAGATGTCAACATATAGTCAAGCCATCTCTTCTCAGGGTTTGTATCTGGGGAGGAGCACGTAGATCAGGAGGGATCACCTGTATGACCTGCCAGGCCACAGCCTCCTCCCCCAGCCCCAGAAAAGGAACGCGTTGATGACAGCAAGAATTGCAACCCATTTTCTGCCACGCTTTTTCTCCCCCAGAAGCTCTTGACATCAAGATATCTACATGTACTCATATAACATGAGAAAGGATGCAAGCATAAGGCTTTTGGCTCCGAGTAGACTACGGTACTTTTGTTGTAACTCACAGAAAAACAGATACTTTTAACTGAAATATTGCATCCTTTTTCCCCTTTAGAAAAATTAATATGAATCACTCCTTCATTCAACAACTACAGAAAACAGACCAAAAATTATACATCGTTTATGAAACAATAGAAACCTTAGAGGAGACCAGCTTCGAGGAATCCACCAAGAGAGATGGGAGCTTCACCTTTCAACTTTCTGCCAAGTTTTGCGCAAAGGTTTGATTTCTCTTCATACTCGGGAGTCAGTCTTTCCCAAACACCTGCACGCCATCCAGGCCTAGTAACAAATTTTTTTCACTGACCAGGGTAACCGTATGCGCAATGTAGGCATAACTATACCCAAGGGCTGCATCGTAGCATTCAAGGCAATCCAGCTGGACCTTAAAGACAGACAATGGGGTAAGTAACTTCCAGAAAGCACCAATTCCTCCATTCAGAGAGCAACACAGAAGAGGAAAAACATTTTCTGAATATCATTCAGCCTCACAGCCTTAGTTCATTTGCAAGGACACGAATGCAGTATGAGTGACAGAAATTACCTGGGAAAAGGCTGTACATACTACGTAAGTTAAAAGCGGTACTTGGGAAAGAGATGCAGTTTCCGGGGTGTTTGGTAGGGAAATGAAAGAGGGATACTGAAGTCTTGGTTCTAAATTTCAGGAACTCCAGAGCTCCTGTTGAAAAACAGCACAGAGGGCAGAGGTTTGGTTTGGTTTGTTTTCTTTTCCTACTCAGAAGAGCCAGAGAGAAACACTGGGCAGCTGACCCTTCAGTGGGAGACTGGCATAAAAGACACGCCCGATAGGTAGAGAAAGAGAGGCCAGAGATCCACAAAACCCGCTGCAGGACTTTAGATCACCTTTGGCTTGCTTCCCCTACACTCTGTGCTTCCCACACCTGCACGGACCTTGTTGAGTATAAGCTGTCATTTTAATTTACCTGTATTTAAACACACTTATTGGCTGATACAGACCCTAACATAAGGCACATGATAGTAGCAAATGAGGTCTAGGAATAACAAATTTTAATTGAATGGGCAGAAGGCAGATGCCCCAGAGAAGAATGAAAACACCAGTCTGACCCACGACTAGCATGTGAGGTTTCAGAACTGGGATACCAGTATCTTCAGACTTAAAAACAACCACCCTGGTGAAAAAAAAAATAAAATAATAAAAACCCTCTTTTTATCTTGTTGCAGATCTTGACTATTTCCCAAAACACGAGTCAAGGATATTATCTGATGGTAAGCACAATATTTTTACTACTTCCACTTGCTCTACTTTTACCTGCTTTGAGTAAGATGGAATCTCTCAGGATAAACACAAACCACCAAAAGTGATGCATTTACTGTAGAGTACTACCTACTTACCCAAAACATGACAACTGTCCAACTCAAAATTGCATAGTGCTTTTGGAAATATTTACAGAAATGTTTCAAATTCTAAATTTAGGGGTGCCATTGAACTTCTTACGGGATTGTCTAGTTTAGAAGTGATATATTTGGACTCTCTGCTTTTCAGGTTACTCACAAGGACAATTAAACACACTGAAGGTAGAAGTTAAAAAGAATTGTCAAATTCTTTTCAATTTGTCTTCTGATCTGTCCGCCATATTTTTAAAAGCCATCAAAGCTGTGATGATTGACAGGAACCTCTTTGAAGAGCTGACCCAGAAAGTAAGCAAACTTTTTCTTACTGCCAGGATTTATAAATACAGATACATCCATAATCGTATCTCTTGCCCCAGAAGCCATCTCTCCTGTGCAACAACTCTCAATCCAAAACCCCTTCTTTTAGCACATCTGTCTGGTCATACAGAGAAAGAAGGTGCTCAGGATAGAGTCAACTGCTGAAATGTGTCCTGAATATCATAGAATCACAGACTGGTTTGGGTTGGGAGGGACCTTAAAGATTATCCAGTCCCACCCCCCAGCCCAGGGGGCTCCCAGCCCCGTCCAACCTGGCCTTGAACCCTTCCAGGGAGGGGGCAGCCACAGCTGCTCTGGGCACCCTGGGCCAGCGCCTCACCCCCCGCACAGGGAACAATTTCTTCCTTATATTTAATCTGCATCTACCCTTTCAGCTTAAAACTGTCACCCCTCGTCCTACCCCCACCCCCTGACCCAGAGTCCCTCCCCACCTCTCCTGCCCCCCCTTTAAGCCCTGGGAGGCCGCTCGAAGGTCTCCCCGGAGCCTTCTCTTCTCCAGGCTGAACCCCGCCAACTCTCTCAGCCCGGCCTCCCAGGGGAGCTGCTCCAGCCCCCCAGCATCTCCGTGGCCTCCTCTGGCCCCGCTCGAGCAGCTCCGTGTCCTTCTGCTGTTGGGGGCCCCTGAGCTGGCCCCAGCACTGCAGGGGGGTCTCCCCAGAGCGGAGCAGAGGGGGAGAATCCCCTCCCTGGCCCTGCTGCCCCCCCTGCTCTGGCTGCAGCCCAGGGTGCAGCCAAAGCCTCAATTACACCCTCATAAATAGCTTAGGGAGGAGAGACACATGACTGTTCATATGCTGCTGTTGTTAGACTGCAAGGGACTATCAGCAATCTCTTCTCTTAAATCCTGGTGTTCCTTTTTCTTATTCTTCTAGATGGAAGCAGCTCTTGATGAAACTGATACCTGTGAGCTGAAAACAGAAAGCCCTGACTTAAAAGACCTGCTGAGCAACTTACAGTATCCTTTAAGATGTCATCTCCTTAAGCTGGCAGAAGCAATCACCTACATTCTTGACGCTTTAGATGGTAAGGCTGCCCTAGCTGTATCAGTAGTACCAGAATATATTAAAAGCATTCCTACTGACAAGGCTAACAGTCTACAGAAAACTTAAAGAATGTGAGAGACTCGCAGAAGACTTATGTAAAATATTTCTTAGACTGTGGGAACAAAGGTGGTGTATGCTGAGAGCAGAGCTGTCCACAGCAGCTGCTGTTCAGTGACAGTCGCAGAGCAGCGACTGCCAGGAGCGTTCCACTGAATCACCAGTTGGTTCAGGAACTGCATGCACAAGGGGATCCTTGAAAAAGGGCTTGAAATCAGAATTAAAATGTGGGTAAAGATGGCAAGATTACCTTACAGAAAGAGCAGTGCAAATTCCAGGGTTCTCCTCCCAAGGCTGTCACAAAATACGGCCTGAACCTCCTCTCGACCCCCTGGGTCTCTACACTGGATGTCAGAGTCACCACTGCATTTGTCTCATGGGCAGGCTGTGCTAATAATTCATTCAAAACACCTGAAGAACTTTTGACCAAACAGGCATCCCCTGCAAGGCAGTTGATGGTCACCCTTCACATCTCAGCAGATCTCTCCAAAATATTGGGGCGTGGTGGTGGAGGGGCTAATACAAATTTGTTTTAATTCTGCAGTGCTAATGGAGGATCAGCTGCTGCTACTGCTGGAGTCTTTGGAAGAGAAGATTGTGCCCCAACAGCTTAAGCTGGTGAGAGAACATACATCACATTTGGCTTAAAATGAAAGGGCAGGGGGTGTGTTATTTCAAGTAAAGCAATGTTTAGATGATGATATAGATAGCAGCATCTCAATTTACACTGGGAAGAAGGGAAAGAATAATTGCTTCAAACTCAGCAGGGATCAAATACTCATGTTGAGAAAATCACTCCAAGACATGAAGACGTAAGATTTCTAACAACTCTTTTTCTTATAATAAACATTAAATTGGACACAGCCGACTACCATTTTTTTTGAAATGGTAGTCAGTTTTCTGGATTCTCTGGGTCCAGATTTAAAAAAAAAAAAAAAAAGACAAGAACACACTACAATTTTAATTTCTTGGACATAACTAATTCACTGGGAACTGAATGCATGAGCATGATAATCTTTCAGGGTGAAAAGTCCCATATGTGGATTATATAGTGCACAGTAAAAGAGTAAAGCACTGCACAAGTCAAAAAGATCATTTACTTAACGACTTCCACAGATGGGAGTATTAAAATACTGATTTTGCTTTTTCTATCATTGCTGTGAAGGTTGAGAAGATCTTGGAACAAGACATAGAAGGCAGGAGGGGCTGTTTCAGCACGAATGCCAGCTTGTTCTCCTTCTCACAAGAGAAGAAAGAAAAATTAACTATTGAAATGGTTGAGATGAGTGGAATGAAGCTCCAGAAAAATGGATTTGAGGTTTATACAGAAAAAGCCTTTCCAGTCGTGGCAGCCCTGTATGTGTCTCTGTACGTCCTCAATCTTCTGACTAACTCAGGTTAGGTTATGCATGTCCTCCCATTAGGGGTAAATCTGAAAGTCTCTTGCTGCAACCCAGCTTCTCTCTCCAAACTTCACCCCTACACAGGTTAGCCGTTCCTTATGAATGCTCAGTGCTGCTTTGAAATAAGTAGAAAAACTAGACTTAAGGCAAGAAAACCCCTTATGGAAGCCAGAAGCTGAATACCAAAAGTGGCTTTTCTTTTCCCTCCCACATGACTGCAGAGTGCCAACTGAAAAATCCACTAGCCCAAATAGTCATAAGCCTGTCAGCTGTGCTTTATGTGACCCTGGTTTTCCTAAAAAATGCTAGCATACATTCATGCAATCAATAAACCACTTACCCAGGTCACATTTGTGATTCACCTGTGACTCAATAAGCTGGTGTTAGAAAGCTTTAAGACCTCAAGAGCATTTTAATGACCTGCACCTGGCAAAAGAGCACCTCCATCACACACCCCACCGGCAGCAGCAAGGAATAAACGACAACATTTCAGAACAGTGCTACAAATACTTTGATTACTACTTTATAAATAAAGGCAGTAACTTATCACTGAATAGCTGAACATTCTTAAAACCAACTTTTAAATATGCTGGTATTTTCACTCACCCAGCAGTGCTGCCTACCTGCTTCTCCGGGGGGAATGGGGTGCCGATACCAAATTTGGTCAAGAAAGAATATTCAGATGGAATAAATCTCTTTGTGTAAAACTTGTATAAACAAGTGGAACATGACAAGGGATGAGTAGGGTGCATCTGCGCATCCTGACCTCACTAGCTGACACAAGCATTATTTTACTGAGATGCTTCTCTGGCTTCATAGATAAACAGCATCTTGCACGCCATGCAGGCATAGTTTCACAATGTATTAGCGCAAGTATTAGAATTCCAGAAATAAATGTGCAATTCATGGAAATTGTATGAATATTCATCTACTTAATGTATATATAAAGGAAGTGCTTTTGTCTCTTGATTGAGATGCATGTTAGGAGGAGAAACTCCCCCCATGCACCCAGCACTGCAACAAACCCACATCGTCTTTCTAAACTATCATTTTTCTTTGGAGAGTTTTGTCGGTTAACGATTTTCGGTAACAGTGCCCTCAGGAAGAGGCAGCGCTGCTTACCTGGACGGTCACTGCTGGTTCAGAGGGCACCACCTGCACCAGGGGCCCGGCCGTGCTCTGCACCAGCTATGAGGGGAGCCAGCTCCCGGTCCTGGTACCCCCGTGCCGGTGTCCCGGCCCCCCCCCGAGGCGTTCGGGGGAACGGCCACAGCTCCCGGACTTCGCGCTTCACCTCAGCCAAGCAGCGTCCGCGCATGCGCCGCCAAAAGGGCGGGAACACCCGAGCGGCGGGCAGAAACACCCGAGCGGCGGGCGAGGATACCCGAGCGCCTGGCGGAAACACCCGAACGCCTGGCGGAAACCCCCGAGCGGGCGCGGGCGGCGAGCCGCTCGGCGCTCGGCCGCTCAGGCCTGGCGGGCGAGGCTCGTGCAGCGGCTGGCCGGGCCTGGCGGCTCCCGGCGTGCCCCGCGGTTGTTGCAGTGTCACGGCGGCCCGGCGCGCCCGGCCATGAAGCAGGACGGCGCGTCCCGCCGCCGCGGCGACAAGGCCAAGGCCCCCCCCGACGGGCCGCCCCCCGCTCCCCCCGACGTGGAGATGCAGGAGGAGGCGGCGGCGGCCGAAACGGCCGGAGAACGGCAGCCGCAGCGAGAGCTTGACGCTGTCACGTTGGAGGGTGAGGAGGGGGCGGGGGGGTGGCGGCACCGGGAAGGGGCCCCTGAAACGGGGATTTGGGGGGGGGGGGGGGGCTGGGGGCTTGTAGGGGAGAGAGGGAATGGGGCGAGCCGAGAGGAGGCTCCATGAGGGATCCCTGTAGGAGGGCGGCTGCGAATGGGGGGGAGGGGGATATTGGAGGGGGAGAGGAACGGAAAGGGGTGTTGGAGGAGGGGAATGAGGAGGCCTTGCGAGGGAGGAGGGAGGTGTGTTTTGGGGGGGGACACCCCGGTGATGGGGCGCCTGTGAGCGTCAGAAATGGTGTGTGGGGACCCCGCGGGGCTGCTGGGGGGGGGGATGAGGGGGACACACCCCTGGGAGGATCTTCTCTGGCCCCCTGCTTCCCCTTCCCCCCCCCCCACCCACCCAGCAGGGACGGCCACGGGGTCGGGTCACTGGGGACCCTCATGAGCGAGAGAGAGAGACGGGGAATCTCGGACCCCGGGAGGGGGATCCCGGCAGCGGCTGTGGGGAGAGACACGGCCCGTGTGGTCCCGCAGACATCAAGGAGCACGTGAAGCAGCTGGAGAAAGCCGTGTCGGGGAAGGAGCCGCGCTACGTCCTGCGCGCCCTGCGGGCCCTGCCCTCCACCTCCCGCCGACTCAACAGCAACGTGCTGCACAAAGCCATCCACGGCTTCTTCACTTCCAACAGCGCCGTGAGGGATTTCCTCCTCGGCTTCCTGGAGGAGGTGTGGCGGGAGGGGGCACGGGGGCGGGAGGGACGCTGGGGACAGGCAGCCTGGCTGCTGGGGAGCACCCGTGAGGTGAGAGGAGGGTGAGGGTGAGAGGAGTTGCTGCAGGTCTTGGCGGGGCTGGGACTGCAGTGCCAGCAGGCCGGGCTGGCTCCCTCGTCACGCCTCAAGCAGAGCTGGGGGCTGGAAGGATGGGGCTGCAGCACATCTCTCCCCCCCAGTCCATGGACACGGAAGCTGAGCTGCAGTTTCGCCCGCGGACGGGGAAGGCGGCCTCAGCCCCTCTCCTGCCAGAAGTGGAGACCTACCTCCAGCTGCTTCTTGTCATCTACCTGATGAACAGCAAGCGCTACCCGGAGGTGAGGTTCCCCGTGCTGCCGCCTCGGACGCTGAGCTCTTCCCGTGGTGCTCCACTCTTCATGGACAGCAGTTCCTCTGCTCTGACCTCTGTTCCCTTCCTGCAGGCTCAGAAAGTGTCCGACGACCTGATGCAAAAGATCAGCTCCCAAAACCGCCGGGCCCTTGACCTGGTGGTGGCAAAATGTTATTACTACCACTCCCGCATCTACGAATTCCTGAATAAACTCGACGTGGTCAGGAGGTGGGCTGGGTCCTGCGGGCGGGCTTTCCCTCAGCGTGGCCCCGGGGAGCAGGGCTGTTTCCTTCCTCCTCCCTGACGCCCTCGGTCCCTTCCCTGCAGCTTCCTGCACGCCCGGCTACGGACGGCCACGCTGCGCCACGATGCAGACGGGCAGGCCACCCTCCTGAACCTGCTGCTGAGGAACTATCTCCACTACAACCTCTACGACCAAGCAGAAAAACTCGTCTCCAAGTCCGTGTTTCCCGAACAAGCCAACAACAACGAGTGGGCTCGGTACCTCTATTACACAGGTGAGAGGCGGAAGCGCCGGCGTGGCTGCGCCCGCGATCGAGGGCTCTGCTCCTCCGGGGAACCCGGGGGGAGCAGCTGGAGATGGGGCTTCCGGGTGGGATTGGAAGCCCCGTCCCGGTGGGTCCAGTTGGATTCACTCGGTGGCTTTTCCAAACCCCGTGCGACCGCAGGGCGCATCAAGGCCATCCAGCTGGAGTACTCGGAGGCGCGGAGGACCATGACGAACGCCCTGCGGAAGGCACCGCAGCACACGGCCGTCGGCTTCAAGCAGACGGTGAGCGGGGACGGGAAGTTTTTTTGGGGTTCAGTTCCTCCCCCCAACCCCGGGGAAGCTGCCCCGAGGTTGAGCCCCACGGTCTCTTTCTGCTCAAGGTTCACAAGCTGCTCATCGTGGTGGAGCTGCTGCTCGGGGAGATCCCGGACCGGCTCCAGTTCAGACAACCCTCCCTCAAGCGGTCGCTCATGCCGTACTTCCTCCTGACTCAGGGTACGTCAGGCTGCTCCTGCCTCCCCTCTCCCTCCTCTCCTTGCTGGGCAGCTCCCCCGAGGAGGGGACGCCAGGCCTGGGGCTCAGCCCTCCCTCGCCTCCCCCACCGCGCCCCGGCCCTCGCTCCTTCCCCCGTTAACCCATTCTCTCCTCCAGCTGTCAGGACCGGGAACCTGGCCAAGTTCAACCAAGTCCTCGATCAGTTTGGGGACAAGTTCCAGGCCGACGGCACCTACACCCTGATCATTCGCCTGAGGCACAACGTCATCAAGACGGGTAGGAGGTGGCTGCTGTGGTGTGTGGGGGGCCTGTCCCGGCCGGTGCCGCGGGCTCGGCGGGCCCGGGGCTGCCTGGCCTGGGGGGCTCCACTCTCCTGCCTCCCCCGCAGGTGTCCGTATGATCAGCCTCTCCTACTCTCGCATCTCCCTGGCCGATATTGCTCAGAAGCTGCAGCTGGACAGTCCGGAGGATGCGGAGTTCATCGTCGCCAAGGTAGCTGCATGCCAAGTCCTGTCCCTCTGGGCTGGGGGCTGCCCACAGCCCCCGCTTCTCGCAGCCGGCCTGCCCGCCTGCCTCTGCAGCGCTCCCTTCCTGGGGCAGTCGCTGGTTTTCGGTTGAGGCCCCTCCAGGGGATGCTGGGGACGCTCAGGGCACCACGTCCCCTCTCTGTGCGCTGTGTCCTGAGCCCACCGCTCCTGTCGCAGCAGCCAGCTCCTCCCTTCACTCTAAACTGCTGCCTCAGCCCTCGGAGACAGCGGGTGCCCTGACCGCGTGCCCTCCGGCTTGCAGGCCATCCGGGACGGCGTGATCGAGGCCAGCATTAATCACGAGAAGGGCTACGTCCAGTCCAAGGAAATGATCGACATCTACTCCACCCGGGAGCCCCAGCTGGCGTTTCACCAGCGCATCTCTTTCTGCCTCGACATCCACAACATGTCTGTCAAGGTGAGCGGGGCAGGGCCCGCCCCAAGGGGACAGCAGGGCACAGCTGGGGCATTTCTCACCTCAGAGCTTCTCCTCTCGCTTCGTTTTATTTTTTTTCCAGGCCATGAGGTTCCCACCCAAATCTTACAACAAGGACTTGGAATCTGCAGAGGTGAGATCTCATCCGAGGCTTTGCAGCCCAGCGGCCCCGGGGACGTGGCTCCTCTCCCCCACCAACCTCTGCCTTTGCCTTCCAGGAGCGCCGGGAGCGCGAGCAGCAGGACCTGGAGTTCGCAAAGGAGATGGCAGAGGACGATGACGATGGTTTTCCATGAGCCTCTGGCCTGGCTGTATTTTTTTATTTGCCCCTAGGGAAGATGCTGTCTTCAGCGGAGCTCCCCCACGCAGCCCCGGTCCCCCCCGTCTGCCTTTCTTTTATAAAATACCTGCATGTCCGTACTGTGGGAGAGGGACACGGGGGTTCCCTGGGCCCGCAGCCACAGGCTCTGCTCTCCCGTCCCCCTGCCAACCACGGCGGGAACCTCCTGCCCCAGTAAATAAACATTATTTTAAGGTTGCTTGTGGTCACGGTCGTTGCTGAGCCCGGCGGAGGCACAGACGAGCCCCCTGACTCGGGAGCTCCTGGGGCTGCAGAGCCGGGGGTGGGGGGCAGGAGCACGGCTCCACCGGGACCGCGGGTGCCCCCAGCTCTTGTAACAATAACGGGGTCAAACTTTGTTAAGCTTCAATTATGACTTTTAAAATAAAAGTTGAAAAAACACCAGCTTGACCTGTTCCTGCTGTGTGTTTGTTGCCGGGATGGTGGGTGGGGGGCTCAGCTCTGTTACCTGCTCCCCTCCCCGGGGCTGGGGATGAGCCAGGGCCAGCTCTGGCCCCGATCCCTCCCCGGGGGCTCCGGGACCTGGGGGCCAGCCCGGAGCTGCCAGTGCTGACGCCCGCCCTCTGCTCCTGCGGCTGCAACGCCCAGGGTGGGGATTACTGGGAGCAGCGCTGCGAGCGGGGGGGGGGCTGTGCACGGTGCGCTGTGGGGAAAGGACTGAGCCCCACCACCCCCTCAGCCTGCCAGGAAAGGCGTGGGGGGGGGAAGGGGGGGTCAGGCTGCGCCCTCCTTGTGCCCCCACCAGCCCTGGGGAGTGATGGGGACAGGGGCCGTGCAGCCACCCCGGCTGGGTCCCCTCGGCATCTGGGACCAGCTGGGCTCGTTCTCTGGGGAAATTTGGGAATTTCCCAGCACGCCCAGGCCGGGCCAGGGGCTGAGGGTCAGGTATAGGGCTGCCCGAGGGCCAGGCCGGGGTTAGGGCGTGCTGGCCCCTGCGCTGGGCACACAGGGACGCCCCGGCAGCGCTCGCTCGTTGGCAGCTGCCAGGACGGGGTCGAGGGTGCCCGGGTCAGGCCCCACGGAGAGGAAGGGTGGCCACGAGGCAGAACCGCAGCAGGGCGGATGCCCAGGATAGTCCCCAGGGCCAGACCAGGCAGCTCCGGCCCCGGGAGGGGGGATTGTGCTGGGTCAGCTCTGCCGCCCGCGCCCCAACACCCACGGGGTTTCGGGTCCGGCCACCACTTCCTTCCTTGGAAAGCTGACGGGGGCTTTGGGCCCCACCAGGCGCTGATTCACGTCCCCCCTGCACTCCGATTCCTGAAAACACCAACCTGCTAAGATGGCAGCTCTGCTTTGGGGAACAGGGCGATCCTGCCAGCGCTGGGGGACACCACGCTGAGCCCCGGCGATAGCCACCCGCTCTGGCTTCCCCCGGCTCTGGGGAGAGCACACACAGAGCTGGGGGGGGGGGATTTCCTCCAGGGAATCCCATGAACAGGCTCCACCGCCAAGGTCCTTTCACCCAGCCTGAGGGCAGAGCACACTGCAGCCGGGGCCTGGGAAGGGACACCATCATTAGGTTTCAGAGTTAACACCTGCCTGGGGCTGGGTGAGGCCCTGGGTGCTGGTCACGGATTGGCTGCAGCCGCCTGGGGTTCCCTGCCCCAGCTGCAGGCAGGAGCAGCTCCCCGGGGGTTGGGGCTGTCTCTGCTGGCTATACCCCCCCAAGGTGTGCGGCCCGTCCCAGTGTGCCCTGAGGCCTGGGGCGTGCAAGGACGGGGTTCCCTGTCCCCGTCTCCACGGCCGGCGGGAGGGCGGCGATGGGACCCGGGCTGGGGGTCAGTGGTGCAGTGTGAGACCCCCCCGGCTCAGCACTGCCCCGGGGTCACTCTGCCCTGACCCCCCCCGCACCCTCAGGCCCCTGGGGATGTGGGTCAAGCTGGTGCCCCCCACGCCCCAGCTGGCCCGTGCCGGGCAGGAGCCGGCCCAGCTGGCCCCGGCCCAGCAGATCATCCTGGAAGCGTTTGCAGGAACCAGCACGAGCCAAAATTCCCACGTCAGCACGGCGAGGCCGCGGCGGGGCAGGGAGCAGCCGGCCCCGCTCCTGGGGCTGCTCTGGCAGCCGCTTCCCCGAAGGGGCAGGCGGGGCCGGCCCCTCGCTGGGGGCAAGGTGGGGTGTGTGGGGGGTGGGGGGTCGGGCCCCCGATGTGGCCGGGTGCTTGGTGCTGCACGTGGGGGTGCTGAGCGCAGCCCGGTCCCGTGGCACCCAATGGGGCAGGATGTGGCCCTGGGGTGCTGTGGCCCTGGGTGGCGGGAGGTGTCTCACCTTGGCCACCTCCAGCTGGTGCCACCATGGTGAAGGTGACGCCGCCGGTGCCCGCCCTGACTCCAGGATGAGGGGCTTGGGCAGCAGGCGGGGGGACAGACAGACACCCAGACGGGCTGGGGACGGCGGCGGTCCTGGAGGGAAAAGCCACCAGCCCCTGTCACTGTCACCTGCGAGTGACCCTGCGGTGCTGAGCGCTGGCCAGCCCAGCCGGCGAGGCGGGAGCCCGGCCAGCTGGTTAATGAGTCACCGAGCCACCACCAGCACCTGCCCAGCACCCGGCACCCACCCCAGCACCAGGGTCCGCTGGGCACCCGCCGCCGCGCCGAGGGGCACCCACCGGCCCCGGGAAAACCCCGCGGGCAGGAGGTGTGGACAGAGGCCGCAGCACCCAGCTCCCAGGATTTGCATGTTGGTGATTAAGACAATGAGGCAATCCTCACTGTTGCCACATCAGTGTGAATCCCCGGAGCCCGCTATAAATGCCCTAATCGATGAGGCCGCGCAGAGCCGGGGCAGGAGCGAGCTGTGCCGGGCCGGGCCGCGCTTGCAGAGAGGAGGAGACGCCGAGCTGGGCACCATGTGCTCCCTCACCCGTGAGTACCCGCTGCTCCCGCTGCTCCCACTGCCATCACTGCACCCACTGCTCCTGCTGCTCCCACTGCTCCCACTGCACCCACTGTTCCCACTGCTCCCACTGCTCCCACTGCACCCACTGTTCCCACTGCTCCCGCTGCTCCCACTGCTCCCACTGCTCCCTCTGCACCCACTGCTCCCACTGCTCCTGCTGCTCCCACTGCACCCACTGCACCCACTGCTCCCACTGCTCCCACTGCTCCCACTGCTCCCACTGCTCCTGCTGCTCCCATTGCACCCACTGTTCCCACTGCTCCCGCTGCTCTCACTGCTCCCACTGCACCCAGGGCACCCATAAAACCCACCACCCTACCTGTAGCACCCGCTGCCCTCGAGCACCCACAGCACTCGCTGCACCTACAGCCCCAGAGCCCCCAGCCCCGGGGGCCCGGTGGGACGCAGGGAACATCCAGTCCCTGTCACCCTTCCGGGGGGTCCCTGCCGCTTCCCCAGGCTGCGTTGGTGCCACCGTCCCTGGGGACACTGAGCCCTGACCCCCGGCACTGGGTCGGGGACGGGGGTGTCCCCGGGGCGGGCGCTGAGCTGCTGTCCCTGCAGGCACGCTGGCACTGCTGGGCGCGCTGCTGTGGGCGCCGTGGCGGGCGCTGCACGGGGCACCGCTGGCCGAGCTCTCGGGGGACCAGGACTTCCAGCTCTTCCTGTACAAAAACCTCGAATTCACCCGCAAGATCAAGGGGGACGTGGCCGCGCTGCAGCGGGTGGTGGTGAGTCCCGGGCACCGCGGCAGCGGGAGGGGGACGGTGGCCGCGCGCTCTGCGGGGTCGCAGATAAGGTGACCTTCCCCTCCCCGGCCTTATCGGCACCGCGAGGTCGGGAGCCAGCGGTGTCCCCAGCGCCTCGGCCTCCCCCCCCGGCGCTGCTCAGCCCCGGGGTCCGGGGGCACTCGAGGGGCCGGGACCGTGCACAGCCCCGCTGCTCCCTCGGGGACGCGTGGGGACCTCCCCGTGGCACGCACCGGCCGGGTTTGCTCTTGTCCCATCCCCACCTCACCGGGCGGCAGGTTCACCCCATCCCCTTCCTCCCCCTGGCTGAGTTGGGGGGGGTCCCACTCTTCAGGGAACAAGGTGCTGGGGGACAGCGGGGTCCTCCAGCCACCCTGACGCCGTCCCCCCTTGGCTGCAGTGTGACACCTTCCAGCTGTGCAAGGAGGAAGAGCTGCTGCTGGTGCGGCAGGACCTGGGCATCGCGCAGGCACCGCTGGAGCAGTGCCACGGCCGCACCTTCCAGGCGGTGAGTGCGGGCAGCCCACCCCTGCCACGAGCTGGCCGGTCTCAGCCCCGCCGGCTCCTGCCGCGGCCGGGCTGTGCCGAACCCCGCTGACGGCGCCGTGCCCGTCCGCAGGAGGCTTGCTTCAGCCAGATCCGCGCGGGGCTCCGCGCCTACCACGGCTCCCTCGCCGCCGTCCTGGAGCTGCTGCCGGGACACGCCGGCCTGGTGGAGACCCTGCAGCTGGACACCGCCAACCTCTCCTCCAACATCCAGCAGCAGGTGAGGGGGGGCCGGGGGGGGGGGGGGGGGCCAGGGCCGGCGCGGCAGGGACACGGGGCTCTGCCTCCCCGGGTTCACGCCGGCACCGCCGTGGTGCTGCCGAGCGGCTCGGGGCGCGGAGCTGACGCCTCTGCCCGGCCGCAGATGGAGGACCTGGGCCTGGCCACGGTGACGTACCCCACGGAGGGCCGGGGCCCCCTCCCCACCTTCTCCTCCCACTTCCACCACCAAGTCGGCGGCTTCTTCATCCTGGCCAACTTCCAGCGGTTCCTGGAGACGGCGTACCGGGCGCTGCGGCACCTCGCCCGCCTCTGATGCCCGTCCGGCACCACCCCACCCTATTTATTTATGTCCTGGCCCAGGCGACCATCCCCGGGAGTTCCCGGCTTTTCCGCTTATTTAATATTTATCGCTATTTAATATTTATCTGGCTGGGGATGCTCCCCCACCCATCAGCCCCCGAGCAGGGCAGCCGGCCCTGCGGTGGCATCCGCGCACGGGTTATCTGTGCGCAGCATCACCTTTGTTTAATATTTAAACAAAAGCGTATCTCTGCTATGAGGTTCGGGAGCTGGGCTGAGCCCCCGCAGCTGCCGCGGGCACCGCGTGTGCCTCAGTTTCCCCGTGGCTCACACAGGGCGCTGCGGGTACCCCTGCAGCATCCCCCCCCCCCCTCCCCCCCGCCAAGGGGAAACCATCTTCATCTGTGGATGAAGATGCTTCAGAGCAGCATCCCCCTGCGTGAGCTGCAGCCTGCAGGGACAGATCCGTTGTGTTATTTCTATTAAGCATCGTTACGTTAATTAATATTTATTAGCCATTAGGTAAGAGGGAGGGAGGGGAGGACGGAGGTGCTGTGGGGACGCAGCAGCCCCCCCAGGCTGAGGCGTTTCCAGGGGAGCCCCAGCACCTCTGGGGGGGCTGCGTCTCCACTCCACCAGCTAAACTCAGTGTATTTATTGCAATTTAAGTTATTTTGCGCCGCCGCAGCGGGCAGGGCCCACCCCCAGCCCGGCGCAGCCCCTGCTCTCGTGGCCGTGCCAGCAGCTCCCACCGGCCCACGCAGCCGTATTTGTGACTCGGAAATTTCACAGCCCAGCCCGGCGGGGCTCCGGGGCGGCGTGTTTTGTACGGTATTTATTGCTGCAGCTGGGTGAGCCCCAGAGAAATACATGCTATTTTTTTATATGCAATAAAAATGGAAATAAACTCTATTTTTGCTCCGGAGCCCGGGCTGTCTGCCGTTCCTGCTGTCTTCTGCCTGCGTGGGGGGCGGGGGGGGGACACGACACATGCTGTGTGGCCGGGGGTGTGGGGACACGGGGACACAGACGGGGTACGGGGGAACAGGCTCAATCGGGGCCGGCCTGTGGCTGCTGGCATTGGCAAACCAGCACACCCTCCCCCCCCCCCCCCCCAGGCCCTCCTGCACAGCACCAGCCCCCCCAAAAGGGCCGGGAAGCACCTGGGGAGGGGGCCGGGTGCGGCTGCCTGGGGGTGGCAGCTTCCTCCCGCACCCGGCAGCGCCTCTTGGGCAAGAGCTGATTCCTAGAAAGCGCCGGAGCCCGCCTGTGCCGGCAGCGGCAGCCGGGGGAGCAGCCCCAGCACCGGCACCGCAGTGGGACCCACTGGCAGCTGGGGGGGTGTGGGGGGGCTCCCCCCTGCCCTGGCAGCGCAGAGCACCCCCCGTCCCGCACCGGGAGGGCGAGCACAGGTGTAATGAGTGCTCAGGGCTCTGCAGCAGCGGAGCCAACCGCGGGCGCTGGACCCTCACCACGGGCCCTGGGGCTGGGGTCGAGGGGGGGCAGTTCGAGGCGGGGGGGGGGGGGGGCCCTTCCTCTTCTGCTGCTGCCCAAGGGGAATCTGCCCCAGAGCTGCCAGGCCTCCCGGAGCCACCCCGACGGGAGGGGACAGCCAGCAGTGACAAAAGCAACGTGGACACGGACAAACGGATGCGCCCGAGGGAAGCCGGCAGAGCCGGGCATCTCCCCCCCACCCCGGCAAGCCCCCGCAGCCTCCCCCCGGCTCTCCCTCCCCCCCCCCCCGGGGTGTTTGGCCACCCCGGGCTCTCCCTCTGCTCCCAGGCTTGCACCAGCCCCGTTTCCTCCCACCGCGGTCGCGCCCCGTGAGCGCCGGCATCCCGTGGGTGCCGGGGGGGGCCCCGCTCCTGCCTTCCCCCCCCCCCCCCCCCCCCGTTTTCCAACCCTCGCCGTCATCCCGCCGCTGCCCACGGGTGTTTAGCCGCACACCCTGGCTGCGGTGGCTCCTTCCTGCCCCGGCTTATCAGCGTTTACAGGAAACCCCTTCTCCCGCCGCGCCAGCCCCTTCCTGGAAGGTGAAACGCCGGGAGCGGGGCTGTCGCCGGCAAATATTGACAGAGGTGGGAAGGCCAAGAGCGCCGGATCCTGCTCTTTGCTCTGAGCTAACGGTAAAGAGCCGCCCCTGGGTGAGCGGGTGCTCAGCGCAGGGCTCCGGCCCGGTGGGGAGCCGCACAGCGCGGGCACCGAGCCCCCCGCTCGCCCTCCACGCCGGCGCTGCCGCCGAAACCAGCCCCGGGGGGCTGGACACAGGGGAGGATGCTCGGGTGTGCGAGGGGCCGGGACCGGCCCACGCCCACGGCCGCGCTCCTCTGCTGACCGCAGCGGGGTCTCTCCCCCTCCAGCAAAGCCCGTGAGCAGCCAAGAGCCGGGCTCAGCCCGGGGTCAAGCAGCCCCTGAGTCACCATCCGGCTGTTTTTCCTCCACCAGCACCGATCCAAACCCTGCGGCACCGGCTCTGGGGCCACCCCGCGCCACCTCTCCCCCCCCCCCCTGCACCGCCCAAGCACCGGCTTCTGAACCCCCAAAACAGGCCCGAGGGGGGTGGGAGGCACAGCCCAGCCCCCGGGACACCCCGAGGGGAAGGCTGGTGCCTGGTTCCCCCACGCACCGCTTCCCCCTTTCTCGTGAGTCAAGCAGAAAACATAAATGAAAGGAGCAGAGGCGAAGCCGTCCCGGCCCTGCCACCCCCTCAGGGTCGGGGTTTCGTGACAGTTAGAGGCAGATTCACCCCTAAAGCAGCTGCCTGGGTGCCGGGACAGCCCCGCCGAGGAGCCTCTCCCAGCACGAGGCCGGCGCGGCGTTGGCGAGGCCGCGGTTACTCACTGGCCCCTGGGTGCCACGCTCCCGGCCGGGGACGCGGGGTGAACTCATGCTCACGTGGAGGAATTTCCAACAAGAATTTGCTTGCAGCTTCCAGCGCGACGGGAAAGCAGCTCCGCTCCACCCAGCCGCACATCTGCAGCCGGCCAGCCGCAGGCACCCGCGTCCCACGCGGAGCAGCACGGGGAGCCCACCGCCCTCCCGGGCCCCTGCGGGGTCAGGGACGGAGCGAGAGCCCTTTCCCTCCCCTGCCCAGCGCAGGGCTTGGCCACTTACTCTCTCATCACCCCCACCATCAAGCCCACCCCAAGGTGAGGGTTTTGGGGAGGGACGCCGAGGCCTGCAGCGAGGAAACCAAACAGAAATGAAGCAAAGTCTGATTTCTAGAAAAGGACTGGATTCTTTATAGGGAGAATAAAAAAAAAAAAAAGCAGGGGGTTTGTCTCAGTCTCTGAAAGCCCATCATGAGGCAGCAAGGGGTGCCTGGGGGGGCTGAATGCAGAGGGGAGCAGCCCCCCGGCAGCCCAGCCCCAGCCCCACAGCCGGGGTCTCCCCCATTTCCCAGCGGCCGCCCGCTCCGGCGCGGCAGAAGGGAGGTGCCACGCTCAGAGCGCGGCGATGGCCTTGGCAGCGACCCGGCGGCCCAGGGGCAGGCTGAGGTCTGTGATGGCCAGGACAATTTTGGGACTGGACATGGTGGACACTTTCACCAGCTCCGAAACCTGCCCGGAAAAAAAGGAGAAACACGGTGCTGGAGGCACGGGAGCCGGGCAGTGGGGCTCCCCCGGAGCGCCCTGCGGCCAGGGAGAAGGACGTCGCGGGCGTGGGACTCACCATGGTGAAGGGCATGAACTGGAGGATGCTGCCGCGGCTGCCCTGCTCCAGGCAGTCCACGCACTCCTCCATGAACCACTGGACAAACTGGGTGTGCGTGCCGGCCGTCTTGGCCCCCAGGATGGAAGAGATGAGCAGGAAGAGGTTTGCTGCGGAGGGAGGGAGGGAAATACCAAAAAGGCAGATCAGTTCAGGGAGGCCCGGGGGTGGCCCAAGCCTCCCGCAGAGGGGACGGGTCCCCACCTCACCACCGCGTGCCCCCCCCAACCCCACCACCCCCCCCGGGACCTGGCCCTGCCATTACCCAGCACCCTGTTCAGCGGGTCCCTCATGCTGACGGTGTGAAGCTGGGAGGCGGAGAGCGAGCTGCTCATCGAGCGATCTGGGGAGGGGGGAAGAGAGAGGAAAACACGCGTCAGGCTGCGGCGGGGCTGGAAACGGCCTCTTGGCCCCCTCGGCCATGTCAACGTGCCCACCCTGGCCAGTTCTCAGCCCTTGGGCTCCAAGAGGGACTTTGCCATGAGCTACCCCACGGCGTGGGAGAGGTTTGGACCGTGGTCTTTGGTGCCCTCACCCAAACCAGCAGAGGCTGTGCTGCTCGGGCACACCAGAGCCAGGCACACAGACTCCCTCGGTCACCGTCCCTCTGTGCCAGGGTGCGGGCAGCCCTGGCAGGGGGGCACAGGCCCACGCATGCCCCACGCATGACGGAGCACAGCGGCCCAGGGAGGGCTCCGCACGCTGCCACTGCCGCCTTCGGGGAGGGTGACGCTTCGCTCTTGCACAAGCCCCATTTTGTTCTGAGTGTGACCAAGCTGAATGCTATCTCTGAACGGTGAGCGTGAGTGAGAGCGTGAGCGAGAGCGTGAGTGTGCCTCCCTGCTCGGTTTTTATTGCAGCAGTGACTCGTCCCTGACCCTCCGCGAGGGCACGAGCGACGTTACCGCGATGTCGCGATGGGGAGGGGGAGAAGAGCAGCAGCCCTCTGCCACGGCGACGCGACACGCACGCTGCGCGTCCTGCCTGCCACGCAGCCGGCGGGGCGGGGCCAGCCAGATGTTCCACAGCTGCACGGCACCGCTCCGATCTCACTCTGGGGGTCCAACTGAGCTACCAGAGCTGAGGCGTGTCCGACGGACCAGCAGCAAATCTTGGGACAGACCAAACCGCAAAGCACTGCCGGGTGCTCCAGCGGGAGAGGAGCTGGGCCATCCCCGCTCCGACGGGACAGGAATCTCCTGGGAAGGCTCTTGTGCAGACCCCGTCGCGCGCAGCTACTGCCAAAATCAGCAGGACCCACCTTGTGCTGCTCTGAGGATGCTCACCAAAATAAGAAAGCCC